ATCATTGGGGTGTTGATGGAGTCTCCCGAACGAAGAAAAGAGCAAGACAAAAGATCGAAAGAGAAAAAAGGAAGGGGGAGGAGAGAGGTGTGGGAGATATGGAGAGTAGAGGGAGAGGTACCAAAGAGCGAGCAGGCGAGAAGGAAAACGAAGGCGAAGGCAGCGCGCATGGTGCGGATGGTGAGGCGAGTGGGTGTGTGGTGGTCTGGGTTGGATACTAAAGAGTGGGTTGGAGTTGCGGCCGACGAAGATAAAGTGTGCATCCACCTCCGTATTGGTCGGAAGACCTGATTGGCTCCTCCTCAAAGTGACGCAACACGGGAGAAAAAGGGCACGAACATGCCTGTCGACAAAAACCTTCCCCCCTCCCGTTGCCATTAAAATGTGAGGTTTTGTCCGAAATGATGAGCGTGGAAAACAAAAGACAAAGGTGATGTAATGCATAGCTCTTGCCTGCTTGTACTGACCCTGAGCAAGGTTGGCAGGACATTGGATTGGAAAATTGGCAGATGTGTTTTGTTCCACCTGTCAACTTTTTGCCATTCACTTCATGTGGTGGGGGATTATGTATGAAGGCATACACATGCATACCTCCTTTGCTTCCACTTCAAGGCATGGGAAATCCAAGACCCACCTCTGCAACTGCACACCAAATTAATCCACAATTTTGAGGCAGCTCAAGCAAACTTTCCACCAAAAAATAGTTGCTTCAATAAAACACCCTAAACATTGGGCCTTCAGGTCATTTCAACAGGCCTCCACAGAGTTCCATTACACACTTTTTGTAGGCCAGAGCAAATGAGCACAAGTTCCCCTCCACAAGTTTCCCTGTGGCCAGATCAAATGTGAGTGAACAAATCACTGTGAAAATTCAGAGAGATGTGTTATCCTCCTGTGACCTCCTTGCTTGTGTTTGGCTGGAAAATCACATGATGATCATGTTGTGAAAAACAAAATTGTTTGTTGGTGCACTATGTGAGGTCAGTCTAGCACAAGTGGAGAGCCTGGCAGGGACCGTGGCAGTGGTCCTCGCAGAAGCAGGTGGCGCAGCCCTCCAGGGCCTTCAGCGCAGCGAGGATGCAGAGAATGTCCTCGGGACCACCGCACGCGGCCACGGCGCTGGCGATGCCAATAGCGCAGGCGGCCTTCTTGATCCACGAGCACTTGCCGAAAGGCGCGTCGACGGGCGCGATGAGGTCGAACACGTCGGTGGTGGAGGAGTAGAGGCACTGGCTGGCGCACTGGGCCAAGGCGCCGAAGGCCTGGTCGCCGGCGGCCTTGGTGGCGCAGCCCTGAGCGCACGACACGTCGGACGGGCCGCAAGCGCCTGTCACGCCGCATGAGACGAAGTGTGAGTGATTGCCGCTTATAGGAATTACGGAGAGGAGGTGGACGTACGGACACACTCGGCGGCGGAGAGGCAGGCGGGGTCCTCATAGCAGGCGGTCACCTGAGCCGAGCACTTGGCAATAATGCACTGGGCAACGTTGTTGCTGGCCTGAGCAGCCACTACATGGTGGGCCAAGACGAAAACGAAGAGGATCTTACGTTAACCTCCATATCCAAGAAAAGAGACTGTGCCAGGTGACCATGGGAGATATGAGAGTGAGGGAGAGGCACCAAAGAGCGAGCAGGCGAGAAGGAAAACGAAGGCGAAGGCAGCGCGCATGGTGCGGATGGTGAGGCGAGTGGGTCTGCGGTAGTCTTGGGTCTGGGTTGGATGCTAAAGAATGGGTAGGAGTTGCGGCCAACGAAGATAAAGTGAGTGTCCACCCCCCGTATTGGAGGAAGGCCTGATTGGCTCCTCGTCATAGAGAGGCAACACGAGAGAAAAGGGACACGAAGATGCCTGTCGACAAAAAATGTTTCCGCCGCATCGATTGGCTGGCTGCAAATCGCTATGGTCTGGTTGGTCTCTTCCGTGACAGACCTGACAGCTAAGAGAAGGCTGTTGCTTCTTCCTTCCAGTGATCATATTATCTAAATATGAGATTAGTGTTTTTTCTCTGTTTGTTGAAAACAGTGTGAAAAATGTACAGCTTTCGTTTAGAGCATGGTGCCGGCGTCATCAGCGTCGAGGTGCTTGGCCAGGAAGGTGAGCACGTCGTCCATGCTGGGTCGCTTGTCGGCCGACGCGTGCCAGCAGCGCTTCATGACCTTGCGGAAGTCAGCCGGGCAGTCGCCGGGGATGGCCGGGCGGCGGCCCTCGAGCACGTCCAGCGACACACCCATGAAGTTGCGCCCGGCGAAGGGCTCCTTGCGGGTCACCACCTCCCACATGATCACGCCGAACGAATAGACGTCGGCCCGCTCGTCGTACTTCTCGCCGCGGATCACCTCCGGCGCCGTCCAGCATGGCGTGCCGCAGCGGGTCATCGTCGCGTTCTCCTCCTTGATCCGCGCGAACCCAAAGTCGGCCACCTTCACGTTCCAGTTCTCGTCCACCTGTGTACATCAAATCACAAGATGAGCGCGTGCATGATGTGGTGGATGGTGGGTGGTGGGTGGTGGTGGACGAAAGATGTGCGTACGAGGAGGTTGGAGGGCTTGAGGTCGCGGTGGACGATGACGGGCTGGAGCGAGTGGAGGTAGTTGATACCCAGCGCGGCCGCGCGGAGCATCTTGACCTTCTGCTTCCAGGTGAGCTTGATGGCGCTGTTGCCCAGCGTGTCACGCAGGCTGCCCTGCGCCATGAACTCGGTCACGATGCACAGGTTGGGCTTCTTGACGCACGCGCCTGATCCACCCCCATCATTAGCGTGTGCGATATGCGTAGCAGGTGCGGCGTGCGCGGCGTGTGCGGTGTGCGGTGTGCGGTGTGTACCGATGAAGAGTACGATGTTGGGGTGGTGCAGCTCCGACAGGAAGGCCATCTCGGCTCTGAACTCGAGCATGCGGCGCTCGTCGAGCTTCTGTTTGATGAACCGCTTCACCGCCACCTCGACGCCCTTCCACTTGCCGCGCAGCACCACGCCGTAGGACCCGAGGCCGATCTGCTTGCCCACCTGGATCTCGCCGTAGTCGATGATCCACCGGCACAGGTTTGCCGACGTGAGGAACGTGTCCTCCTTGAACATCATCCTGTCGTGTCGTGCGTTGCGTGTTGCATATGAGACGCTTGTCGCACACACCGCTCGCGCACAGGGAGGGGAGTGTACCCTTCGCCGACGACGGTCTGGAGTTCCTTGCCACTGCCGGGTTCGCTGTCGGGGTGGCGCCCGCTGCCGCCGCTCGCACTGCTGCCCCCGTGCGAGGAGCCCGTGCCCGTGGTGTTGTTGGTCGAAGTGCCATCGCCGGCCTCGAGCGTCACGCCTCCAAAGAATCGCGCCTCCAGGCCCGGCGTCTTGATCTCAAACAGTTTAGATCCTGCTCCCACCCCAACATCAGTGTGTGTTGCGTGCGTGTGCGGTGGTGCGTGTGCGGTGGTTCGTACCATCGGGAGCATCGGGCATCTCAAACTTGCCCAGCCCGACCACGCTGCCCTTCTTCAGCTCCTGCTGGCCTTCGCTGCCGCCCAGCTCGGGCGAGCCCTTGACCTTGTGGAACGCCGCGTGGCTCATCACCACCTGGCCGCCGTGGGTGAGCGCCGTGATCCGCGCCGCGGCGTTCACGACGGGGCCGATGTACTCCACCCGGCGCGTCATTGGGTCGCGCACGGCCCGCGGCACGCCCACGTGCACGCCCATGCGCACCCGGAGGCCCTTGAACAGCACCCGGTCGTCGGTGTCGCCCCACTCCTCGGCCGCGCCCGGGTGCTCGAGCAGCGCCTCGGGCCAGGCCACGCCCAGCAGGCTCCGCTGGACGTCGGCGCACCAGGCTAGGGCGTCGACGGGCTGCTGGAAGGCCATGCAGAACGAACCCTCGCCCGAGTTGCGGTCGCGCACGAACACCACCTCGTAGCCCCGGTGGCGCTTGAGCGCGTCGCGCAGGGTCTCGTTATGCAGCAGCGTCGCGTCGCGCATCGCGGCCGCGTTGAACTCCCACAGCGACGCGGCGCGGGTGATGTCGGTGAACACGATCGCCATCTCGCCCTCCGGCGGCCTCACCCCGCCGCCCGCTGCGCCCGCCAGGCCCGCCCCAGACTTGGACGAGCCGGACGACGACGATGAGCCGCTGCCGTCGGCCGACGACGAGTTGGTCGAGGGCAGGGCCCACGACCCGAACGAGCTGGTCGTCTTCGCGGCGCGGTTCGGGTGGCCACTGTTGTGCGACGCCGACGACGACGAGTTCGAATAGGAGGTGGCGCCGGCCGAGGTCGAGTCGCCGTGCATGGCCGACAGGCGGGTCATGATCTCGAGGAATGTGGGGCGGATGGTGGGGTCGTGGTGCCAGCAGCTGGTGATGAGGTCCTCGTACTCGGCCGGGCACAGGGCTCCGCCGCCGGCCTCGGGTATGAGCGGGCGGATGTTGTCGCGGATCACGGCCACGGCCACGGCAGCCGGGCTGAGGCCCATGTAGGGCTGCTCACGCGTCAGGAGCTCCCACAAGATGATGCCGAAGCTGTAGACGTCGGCCAGGATCAGATCGACGTCGCCGGCCTCGTTGAGCACCTCGGGCGCGGTCCAGTGCACGCTTCCCGCCACGTTGTTGTTGCCCTTGCCGCCGCCGAGGCCGCCCTTGCCACTGATGTCCTCCCTGAACTTCGTGAGGCCAAAATCGGACACCTTGACGTTCCACTTGTTGTCGAGCAGCAGGTTAAGCGACTTGAGATCCCGATGCACGATGCCTAGATGCAAGGTGCACGTTGGTGTGAGTTGTGTCGACGAAGACAACAACCAAAGAACGAAACGCGAAGGATGAAGAACGAGAAGAAAGAAGGGCCGTACCAGAGGAGTGGAGGAAGTGCATGCCCTTGGAGGCCTGGTAGGCCATCTTGGCCTTCAAAATGAAGGGAATGTCCGGAATGAGCTCGTTGTGCAGTAGCTGCAGAGCGCCACCACATCAGCATTGCAAGTCAGACTTGTGTGGTGCAGTGAGGGAGGGGCCACAGGTACGTACGTCGAAGAGAGAGCCGAGGGCCATATACTCCATGACGATGCACATCTTGGGCGCCTTGGTCGACGCCGCCATGAACAGCACCACGTTGGGGTGCCGCAACGACGTCATCACCCGCACCTGGTTCATCAACGAACATCAGTGAATAAACTGTGATGAGAAAAATGAGTGGGTTCGATGTGAGTACCTCGTCCTTGAAGCTCTTCTCCATTTCCTTGGTGATGCGGTCCGAGGCCATGACCTTGACGGCCACCTCAGTGCCCTTCCACGTGGCCTTGTGCACCTCGCCGTACCCGCCGGCGCCCAGCTGCTCGCCGACCTCGAGCTCGTCATACTCGATCTCCCAGTCGTCGTTCCCGCTGCCCTTGCGCCGCAGCAGCACCACGACGACAATCACCAGCACCAGGAGCAGGGCCACCACGACCGCCGCCACCGGAATCACCGTCGCTGCACATGCATGCCTTAGTGTTTGTGTGTGTGTGTGTGCGTGCGTGTGTGTGGTGCACGTACCCAAGATAATGACCGTGGAGTCGCTCGAGCTCGAGCTGGTCACGCTTTCGCAATACTGGCCCTCCCAGCCCGACTCGCAGACACAGGCACTGTTGGTGCAGGTACCCTGGCCCGAGCACAGCTGGCCGTCGTCCGTGATGCAGTTGGCCAGCGCGCTCACGGGCCGGCCGGCGCAGGTGAAGGCTTTGAGCTGGCGCATGAAGGCGCGGTTGATCTCATCTGTGGCCGTCGGCAGCACGAACCCCTGCCTGTCGGCGTTGCGCAGGGCGACGGGGTCCGTCTGGGACCACAGCAGGAAGTCCGCGAGGGCCGCCGCTTTAGTGCAGTCATCCATGCTCGTGCTGCGGTATATCGTCGCCCCAAAGGCTGCGATGGGCCAACTATTGTCTCCGCCGCCTGCGAACGGTTGTCCGTAAGACCCCCGCGCATAACGCTGCGGCCCAAGCACGTAAGGGAGAGATTGACGATGCTGAACATACGCAGGAGAATCGATTCGTAGGTGCGGCTGGCCGCGGGCGTCGATGCGATATAGTCGTCTAGCGCGCTCAGCACAGACGCTGAGGAGGGCGCCACAATACGGCCCGCCGGGTTGATCAACGACGCCGAGTTGAGAGCTCGAGCCTGTGGACGACGTCGCAACCAGCGCAACCAGATATCAACGTCAGCACAACTGATTGATGAAGAAGAGAGCACGCCCAAGGGGTTTTTGTATACCGCGAGGATGTCGAAGTACTGCCAGAAGATGAACGAGTAGGGATTGCTGGTCAGGAGGTTGCCGATGTCGGTCGTGGTGCTGATGTTGATCGACCTGTTGGTCTGTTGGACTGGGAACGACACAACAAGCCCCGAACCCACCTGTTCACGCCAAGCACCACACATTAGCCAAAAAAATACAAAATTTAAGTTACGACGTTGGGCGAACCTGAGCGGCGAACTCGGGCACGGTTTGGCTCAGCAGCTGCGTGAACAGCTGCGTGTAGGCCGAACTCACGTTGTGGGTCACCACAATGATCTCTTCGTCCGGCAGCGCGGCGGCCACGTCGGCCGAGTTGAGGTCCTTGATGCGCTGGTCGTTCCACCGCGTCACGTTGTTGAGAAAGATCCCGGCGATCGTGGTAAAGTCGAGCACTAGCGTCTTGTCCTTCAACTCCGGCACGTTGTACGCTGTTGGGTATCGGAGTTAGTCGTGTGGCAACAAAACCGACGAATTGGAAGGGAGTGAGAAGATAGTACCGGGCACGAGAGCGAAGGCGGTGGTCGGTACGATCTCCGCATCGGGCATCTGCGTGACGTAGCTGCTCTCCAGGCCGTTGCTCGTGACGCTGAAGTCAGAGTTATTGTTCACCAGCCGGTCCTTGCCGGTGGTCGACGACGACAGGTAGAACTTGGCGCGCGTCTGGGCCGACGACCAGGCCACCGACCACGATGTGAAGATGGGCAGCGGCGACCCGATGCCGATCAGGAACGCCGTCGAATAGGCCCGCTCGCCGTTGCACTGGACCGTACTCAGGAGGTCCACGATCCGCTTCTTGAGGCTCGTGTCGAGCGGCACAATGTTGATGCTCGTCGCGTCCGTGCTCGCCCTGTCCGTGTGGTGTCGTGTGGTGTCACGCGCAGTGAGCGAACATACAAACGGCCGTCACGGAGGTGATTGGGTGGTTACCCGTCGTTGGTATGGACCCAGGCAGCGAAGGCCAGCAGCTCCTGGATGGCGGTGCAGTCGATGCCGCTCACGTTGCGGTCCATGGTGAGGTAGGTGAGGTAGGAGATGGGCCACGAGCTGGCGCCGCCGGCGTCGAGGATGTCCACAGAGAAGTTGCTCCGGGCGAACTGCGCCTGGAACTGGCTCATGGCCGCCTGCACCGAGGCCGTCGACGGCGTCACCAGGCCGCCGGCCTTGTTGTACATGCTCATGTGCCTAAAGCCGGCCTTCGTGGCGTCGGCATAGCTGAGATAGGTGATGCTGTCCTGGTGGGCCTGCTCAGGTGTCCACAACATAAACAGTTATGGGCCGGCGTGCTCGATATGGTGTGCGTGTGTGCGGTGGTGCGCGTGCGGAGGAGCGTACGGCAAGCCACACGACCCTCTCCGCGGTCGAAACGCCGGCAGACTCGGCAGTCCCGCTGAGGGCCGGTGGCATGTTCGCGAAGTCCCTTCCGGCTGCCTCAAACAGCCGAGCAAAGTCGGGGCTGAAGCTCTCGAGCGAGCGCTTGACCACTTCGGTCAGCGAGTAGACGGTGTTTTGGTTGTAGCCGATGGTGATGTTGGTGTTGGGCAGGAACGAGGCCAGGCCGGGGTTGAGGTCCTTGATCCGCTGGTCGGTCCACATGGTGACGTTGCCCGCCCAGATCAGGCCCAGGGTCTCTCGGTCAATTATCTGCGACGCACACAAGCCATCAGCAGACCACACACACACACGACGCAACACGTTTCTTGTGCGCACCAAGCTGGCGTTGAGGGACGCAAGGGAGGGGATGTTGTAGGCCATGACGATGGCCTGTCCCATGAGCGGGAACTGGATGAGGTTGCCGTATGTGGCCGCATCCGCGTCGGAGAAGAATCGGTCGATGCAGATAAAGTCCTGCAATAAATCACAACAATACGCGGAAAATGACTTTGATGAGCAACCATCTGTCGCAACGGTTGAACGGATGCATTTGGGGTTGTCTGTACCAGCTCGCCATCCGCGTACTGTTCCAAGGCCGATGTCACACCGGTGTTTGTGTACGAGATGCTGTTGCGTGCCAGGGGTAAGCTACGAAGAAAATAGGCCGATAGAAGAAGATGGGGTTGGGCGAGGTCAACATACAGGATGTCGTCGCGGGTGTAGATGTAGTCGGCAGACCACGACGCGAGAATGGTGACGGCGTTGGGACTGCCTGCTCCTTGCAGCTGCACACCAAAGGCCTCTACTACAGTTGAAGAAACGATGAGACCTAGCAGCGAACAGGCCGCGCTGCACGGGCCAGCATGGCGAGCTGGCCAATGATGAGGAAAACAGACAAAGACGGCGTACTCTGGCAACAAAGAAGCAGGAAGAGTATCGACCACAGCGCCTTGCTGAGGGACATCCTGATGAGGATGCGCGGTACTTGTGCGGTGGGGGCTTGCTTGCCGTCGCGGTGTGATGTTGTGGTGGTGAAATGGTGGGACTGGTTTTCCGCTTTGCTCTGACCGGTCAGCTAAAGGCGCCGGGTGGGTGATCGCCGTTGTCGTCCTCGTACGGTTGCAGTTGAAGTTGGGTCGCACAGAGGCAGCTCTGCCGTTTTTGTGCTGACCTTCCCGCGGTGTCAAAAGAAAAGGTCCGCAAAAACTGACATGACCGCGGCATAAACGACTGTGCGTGTCAAAAGAGAACTTTGGCGCGGGTAGATGGTGGTAAGATGAGGGCGTGCCGTCAATCGCTGTGGGATTGACCTCCACCTCGTCGGCAGCATTTTCCGCTGTTGTGGTAGAAACCGAAGGAAAAATGATCCGACGGAAGAAAACGAACCGGAAAAAAAGCGGAAACAACAATGCTCGTGTGTGTGCTTGGTCTAACGAACCGACCGACAACAGGTTTATGCGACAGAAGACGTACACGTCATTCGAAGAAGAGTAAAAGAGAAGAGCCTGTTTAGTCATGAAGGCGGCAGGATCGGGTAGCGGACGGCGGAGTCGTAGGCGGTCATGTCTCGACACGGCGACACGGCGAAGCACAGGAGTTCGTGAAGGAAGATACCGGCGTCGTCGACGAGGAACTCTTCCAGTCGCGCGCGGAGCTCCCCCCAGGCCACCTGCGCTGCGCGTTCGTCGGCGGTTGTGCTGCTGGCAGATGCTCGTGCCGCGGTTGCTGTAGTGGTGGTCTTCTTCTTGCCGGCGGTGGCGGCGTTGATTCGGCCGCGGCGTAGTCGTCGAGGAGGGAGCGCGTCATGATTGCCAACAGATCCACGTCGTCTTCCTCTAGCACGGCCTGCAGCTCGCGCACCACCCACGGCTTGAGCTTGGTCTCCCACTCGCGCGCAACGTCGGGCAACCGTCGGGCAAAGGCCAGCTCCAGACTGCTGCCTGGCCCCTCTGACGACGCTGTTGTGAGGGCCGCCGGTGGCACGGCGCGCAAACAGCGAGCGTACACCCGCCGCCGCCGATCCACGTCCGTGTCGGAAGCACTGGGTGCACTGCCGCCGTAGCTCATCTCCCCCGAGGCCTTGTGCGTCGACGCTTGAAGGATGCCGACCGCCACATCGCGGGTACTCGTCGCCGCAACCGACGCTCTTGCTCGGCTGGCAACGTTGCGTGTGGCGGCGTGAGACGACGAAGGCGAGACGACGGCTGCAGCTGCGGCGGCGTCGGCCAAGCTGTAGCGTCGGAAGTGGAGGCGCGCGGCGGGTCCTGGCATGAGGCGGAGATCGTGCAGGACGGCGTTGAAGCGGCGCTTGCACAGCGGGCAGGCCGGGTTGAGGGCGGCCCAGTGCGCGATGCACACGAAGCAGAAGCTGTGGTAGCAGCCCTCCACCACCGCCCCGTCGCGTCTCGTGGGCCGGCTCAGACAGATGGCGCACTCGCGCCACTCGATCCCGTCGTCGTAGTCGGCGGCAAGGCCATTACCCGGGTGCGTTGCGGTGGTGTTGGCTTCTTCGAGGTCGCGCAGCGAGAGGAAACCTTCATCTTCGGGTGCTCGAGTCGAGGCTGCGTCATCTTCGAAAACAGCAGGGTAGGGGTCCTGTGGGCCACAGTAGTAGAGGCCGGCCTCTTTCGCTTCGCGCTCCTCTCGTTCATCTTCATCTTCCTCGCTTTCTCCCGAAGAGGAGATGTAATGCTGCTCCACATGGGGTGGCGTTGGCGGCCTCGATGTCGATTTCTTCTTCCTCCTTCTTGATCTCGTTGGTCTTGTGTGATCGATATCACTAGCCTCCTCCAGCACCACAACATCGTGCAAATCGGGAGGCGTGGTGGGACGCCGTCTCTTACCTCCATCTGAACGAGAGCTGCCGATTTCGATCACATCCGAATCAGTATCTTGATCGCTCACCACCTCCTCCTTCCCGCGCTTTCGTTGCTCCTCCATGGTAAGTGATGTGATCTGTGCTCTTTAGCTCGTCTCGCCGCAGTGGAGAGGATCCGTGTAGCATTTCAATTCGCACAATTCTGAGCCAAAGCCAATCTTTTTCAGATTTTTAGAGAACAACGCTGTTGTCAATCATAGGCCTCGCTCATCCGCTTCAGGGCGAGATCGCGGATATGCCCAAGGTCCTCCTCCTCGTGCTCCCACATGAGCCCGGGCGCGGTGTCGTTGACCTCGATTATGTAGTCTTTGCCGTCCTTGGCGTGCAGCACGTCGAGAGCGAGAATGTCCAACCCACCGAAGAGCTTGGCCACCTCGTCCACCCACAGCTTGTAGTCCGCCGTCATTTCATGATCTGCACCATCATCAACAACACCATCAAGCCGGCGCGAGGAATCAATTGACAACACCCACAAGTGATGGATGGTCAGTGTGAGTCCAATAGTGTACCCACGAATGTGAGCTTGCCCCAGTTGTTCTTCCACGAGGAGGCCGAGTTGCGACGGAAGGCGCGGTAATGATCTCCGATCTTCTGCACCCTGAACTCGTACTCGTGCTCGATGAACGGCTCAGTGCTGTACAGAGGTCAGCTAGCATCGGATGGTGCGTGGTGCGTGCAAGAGAGTGCATGTACGTGTAATAGTCGTTGTGGAGAGCGAGGATTGAAGTGATGTCCTGCATGTCGTGCTTGTCCCGGGCCTGAGTCTTGCCATAGCCTACCAAGGTGAGGTAGGCCAAGGATTACGATCACGTTAGTCACTACGCAAGGCTTGAGGAGCACGCCAGGTAGCTGTACCTGCATGAGTGGAGCTGACCTTGATAACCGCTGGATAGGATTCAGGCTCAATTAAGCGCCGTGTGCTAACAACACACCAAACATCAGCCAAGGCCCGCGCTTCAAGCACGGTCAGTGTGAACGCACCTCGCGCGGAGGTTGGGATAGTAGTTCATAGCGATTAGCGGGAAGCGATCGGGACCCAGCTGGCGCTGCAACTTGAGCATGGCCGCGTACACGACAGGTCCTGTTGAGAGAGCAGAGACAGTTCAGAACTACCACCACACGCATATCGTCTCTACACCCACGTACGTTCCATGCAGCGCAGCACCGATTCAAGGGAGTTCACTGCAGGGATGTCGCCAAAGAGAAGACCGATCACCATGTTCTTGAACCTGACCACAACGACAACAACTGGTGAGTACTTCCCGCACAACACTCAGGTCATGAAGTGAAGGCCTTGCGTGGTCGAATTGTGTAGTACCCGTTGTCGTGAATGTCCATGGGGAAGTTGCGGATGAGGCAGAAGTCGGGCACCACCACGCGCTCGTCCTTCTGTGTGGAGAAGGGCAGAGGGTTGTCCGACGCCTTAATGTGCACCTTGACCCCCTCCGTAGCACTGCTCGCCCCCCCCCCAATAAAACCACTCAGCAACTGGCACAGACGGGGTTGTTGAGAGGGGGGGGAGCAAGGCACCTGGCTTCGACATGGAGGTCCTTCCACTCGGACTGTTCTACCCGGATGGGCAGGCCGCCAGCGGTCTTGCACCCCCGAAAGAGCTTGTACCAGTCGGTCGTGTAGTCCAGTGCCAGCAGCACAACCTCGTTCTTCTCCCCCTTCCTCTGCGGCTGCTGCGCTACTTCCATCTCGGTCGACCACTTGTTATTGCTCAGCTTTCTTCATGGACCAGCAGCACTCCGCTTCGCTTCATCTTCTTCCCCAGCAACGCGAAAGGGCAGGAAGGTGTAGAAGGGTAACTTTTTACATTGAAGAAGAGGGAAAAGAGAGGGGGGGGGCGAAGGTGATGGCTGTCGCGAGCGTTCAGTTGATGACGAGGCGGTAGCTGCGGGCAGGAGGAGGGGGAGGTTTCTTTACAAAGCATGAGGTGAGGAAGATGAGGACGGCCAGGGGTGTGGAGAGGAGCGCCATCACCCAGCCCACGAACGGACTCCACACAACCTACGCACACCACACGCACACATCGATCACACATCCACCACCGCATCACGCCCCATCCCAAGTTAGTGCACCTTCATCCACTTCTTGTCGTCGTCATCGCCGTAGCCGTCATCACCACCACGACGGGATCAAGCCCGAGGAGAAGGGTACCTCGATGGAGTCTTCTGGCGAGTGGTGGGTCTGCGAAGCGGTACCGAAGAACAAGTCGCACGTGAACTTGGGCACCTGTGTAGCCGATTGCACACAACAACCACCGTGGGTGAGCACACGCAGATAGAGATGATGGCGATGAAGAAGGAAGCGGGCGTTGGGCTGTCGTATAAAACGTACGCAGTGATTACCCAAGGCGGTGGGGAAGTAGAGGAAGAGGCCCCAGGCAAGGCACGAGAAAAGGAAGTGAGGCACGAGAAGCAGGTGATGAGGGACTTGCAGTGCGTGTACTGGCGGTGGAACCTCGCCCGCGGGCCGTGGCACGTGGCGACGGCGTGGAAGAGACACACGGCCAGCAGCGACGCGAAGCCCAGCCCGAGGAGCGCCATCGCATTGGCCGAGTGGTAGATGCTCTTCGCCGCGCTCAGGCCGTACCGTCGGTCGCCCCAGCCGATCAGCTCCCAGCTCGTCGACTCGCCCTCGCTGCCTTCGGCCAGCGCCTCGCCAACCGACGGCCACCCGGCCGCCACCATGGCCCGCGTCGCCATCGTCCTCGTCACCGCCGGCAACGCGCCCCCTTGGCCGTGGTCGTGGCGTTGATGGGTGCAGGAGAGGGAGAAGGAGAGGGAGAGGGTACAGGAGCAGGTGCGAGGCTGGTGGTCGAGGTTGTGTGGACGTAGACGCCGGACCACCACCACAGGAAGAAGCGGTCGGTGGTGACGACGACGGTACCGCCAGACGAGAGGGGCGGTACATGCCGCGCAGAGGTGGCGTACCAGGGACAGGCCGCCGCCGCGGCGAGGAGGAGCACCGTCGCCAGGGTCAGGACGAAGCTCCACCACGCCGCCCCACGACCCCCGATGCCGCCTCCTCGCAAACCGCAACCACACCCCCGCCCCCTTGCCTCCGCGGGGCTGCGGGCGGCTTGCATTCGTGAAATCGACGACAACTGCTGTCTCTGCAGATCTTTTACCGTGTGCAAATGGCCGTGAGAAAAGAAAGGATAAGGGAAATGGAATCGAGAAACTGAAGAAAAATGGCCAAGAAAGGTGGGTAGCGTTTCGCCACTGCTGCAGTGAAACAACAGAACGCGTTTTCGCCGTAGCACTGAGTGACGGGAAAGTACTAGAGCGCTTCGTTGAGGGAGATCGGTGTTGTTACAAATAATATCTGGTGTATTATGAATATGAATATGGGTTATGCTACACAAGCCAGCGCAAGGCTATTATTTAGTCGCGGACGTAGAAGGTGCCCTTGACCTCCAGAATGTCACCGATGGGCGTGCCGTTGTCGGCGCACACGACCTGGCCGTTGGCACCGGCAGTGCCCTGGCGGTACTTGGGCTCGGTGGCGTACTGGCAAGTGAGACCGTTGAAGCCGCTGAGCTGGAGGATGGTGCGAGGAGGGTAGGGGAACGGGTTGTTTGCGGTGGGCGAGCCCCAGAGCTCGGTCTGGACCTGGTTCACGATGGGGCGAATGGAGACCATGTCGATCACGTAGACCACCACTTCGGCGCAGTCCTGGGCGGTGGCGCCAGCAGACGCGGCGTTGAAGAGCATGTTGACGAAGGCCTGCTTGACGCGGGTGTAGACGCCGTTGGCGAGCGAGACCTGCGTGTTGTTGTTCGGGTGGATGCCGCGCATGCCGGCGACGTGGATGGGCACGCAGTGCTTGCTCTTGATGTTGGCCTGGATGGACCAGGTGCCGGTGGTGCCGATGGCGCCGGGCGGGTTGTTGTACTCGACGCACTCGCTGGCGTCCTTGTCCTTCTTGGCCTCGACGGCCATCGCGGCGAGCAGCACGAAGGCCAGAACGAAGATGAGAATGCTCTTCATGGCGGTGGTGGTGATTACTGTAGTAGAGGTTGGTAGTAGTGGTGGGTGCGAGTGTGGGGTGATGGTACAGCGATGGTTTGAGAAACAATGATCGCGATGTCCAGGCCTTTTAACAGTGGCCAGTTAGTTACCAGAGGTGAGCGTAGTCTTGGTGCAGGTTGCAGAGGCACCAGCTCGGCTTCCAGGGCCAATGAACGCACTGGTTTGTCACTGCTTTACCTAACAAATTCCTGCAGTGTGATAGCCAAAAAAGACAAGTTCGCGGTTGGCTGCCCGTGTCACTAACTGGTGGTTGGTGTTCACAAGTGCTCTCAGAATAGCAAAGGTTGAGGCCAATAGGAAACCCAGAATGTCATCCTCATTCGTCGGCGAGATCCTGCCAGGATCACTAGGCAAAAGTGCGGACCTAAAACCGAGCTAATCGGTTCCCAACAACAGCAAACCGCAGTTCGCGTCAGCCGGTATCCTCCTTTTCTCTTTACTTTTGTGCCACTTCGTCCACTGAAAAGACCCAAGCTGGCGACGAAGATGGCGCCTTCAACTTCGCTTTCGTCGTCCTCCTCCTGGTGGACGTCTGCGCTGGCCACGGTGGCTCTGGCGCTGTTGGTTACGCTGTCGGGCGGCCCCCGGGGTTGCGCGGCCAACAACATCTACGGCTCCGGGGCCATCAACGTGCAGGAGGTGTTCGCCAGTCTCACCAAGCTGTACCGCTACGACCGCGACCGCGTGTTGATCACCTTCCAGACCTCCACCATCCCCCAAGCCCTGGCCAAGTACACCGCGGGCGAGCTCGACTTCTTCATCTCCGACGTGGGCCTCAGCGCGGCCCAGCTGAGCCCCTTCAACGGCATCCAAATACCCATGATGGGCACCCCGCTCGTCGTCGCCTTCAACCTGCCCGGCTTCGGGGTGGGCGACAACCTCGTCATGGACCGCGAGACCTTGGCTCGCATTTGGTACGTCTCTCTCCTAATTGGTTGAACGAACTTATTGCAAGCAGGCTTTTTGGTCGACATTTTGTAACTTGTGGCAACCGACCACTTGGCGACGGACAGGAAGGGCGACATTCGTCAGTGGGACCACGAGGACATCGCGCAGTGGAACGAGGGGGTAACGCTGCCCTCGCTCAACATCTCGATGACCTACTGGAGCCCGTCGACCAGCGCCCTGGGCTACACGGCTGTCTTCAAGACTGCGCTCTCGAGGTTCTCGCCGGCCTTCGCCGCCGCTCTAGCCGCGGCGAACAACGCGCTGGAGCAGATGGAACCGTCGCTGGGTCCCAACAAGTGGGCCTTCGCCGGGGACCCCTTCGAGACTGGCGACAAGCGGATCAACCTGACCGCGGCCACGCCCGGCATGATGACCTACATGGAGCGCCAGAAGGCCGACGCGATGGGCCTGCCCTACATCCGCCTGATCAACCGGGCCGGCAAGACCGTGGACGGGTCGCCGGCAGCGGTGCAGGCCGCCATGGACCAGTTCAGCGACCTGATCAACAACGGCACGCTCGTGATCGACGTGGTGGACTCGAACGGGACCGACGCGTGGCCGATGAGCTACATCAGCTACCTGACCCTGTCCAAGACCATCAGCCCGACCACCGGCGGCTGCTCGCGCGCGAGCAACATGCTGCTGTTCCTCAGCTGGACGCAGCTCAACGAGGCCGTGGCCGACGTGTTCGTCGAGAACCAGTTCGCGCCGCTCACCAACCCCTACCGGCGGCGGCTCATCAACGAGCTCTACACCATCACCTGCCAGGGCACGCCGGTGCTCACCACGCCCGTGCTGCTGGGCATCGGCGAGGAGATCGACCTCATGGGCGACTGGACCCAGGAGTTCCAGACTGAGTCCTTCGCCATCAAACACTTCGAGGCCACCAGCGCCCAGGCCATCGAGCAGATGCGCCTCGGCGATACCGACTACGCCGTCTCCTATACCTGGTCTCCCACGACCGTCGATGTCACTCCCACCTCCAAACGCGACGTCGAGGACAGCGACATTCTTGGCATTCCTGCGGTGGCCTACGCGCTGGTGCCGGCCTACTTTGTGTCGAACCTGTCTTCGCAGCCGAGCCTGGTCATGACACTCGACGTGCTCGCCTCGGTGTTCGCCGGCCTGGTGACGCAGTGGAACGACACGGCCATCGCCGCGCTCAATCCGTCGGTCGCCGCCTATCTGCCCTATCATGCCATCCGCCTGGTGGTGGGCTGCGATAACACATCAACCGTCGATTCCATGCTGACGCAGGCCTTCGCTGGGCTGGCCAACGGGGCCTCGGCCATTGCGGGCTACCAGGCGGTGGCCTGCACCAGCGACCCGGTGGCCGCCATCAGCGCGGCCGACTACTCGCTGGGCGTGTGGTTCTCGACCCAGGTCATCACGCAGGTGCGCAACGTAAAGGCCGCCTCGCTGGTCAACCCGGCCAACACAGTTGTGTCGGCCAACCAGACCTGCATCCTGGCCGCCGTCCTGGACTTCGCCGCCAATACCACCGCACTCCACCTGGTCAACGGCCCGGGTCGGCTGAGCTGGCCGCTGGTGGGGTACGCCGTGCTCACCATCTACGCCCAGGCGCCCGGCGACTACTCGACGGCCCAGGGCCTGCTCGACTGGGTCTACTGGACGCAGACTTCGACCCAGGCGTCCACCGTGGCCAACAACTACAACCTCGCCGTGCCCGGGCTGGTGCCCGAGGTGCGCCGTCGCACGATCAACACTCTGGCCTCGGTTCAATCGACGTCGACCGGGGCCTACGTGTTCTCGCTGCAGGCCTGTGTCATCAACGGCACGATCTGCTCCGACCGCGGCAGCTGCGTCGGTGGCCAGTGCTCGTGCGCGGCCGGCTGGACCGGCGACCACTGCCAGTTCGCTCATTCGGCCGCCGGCTCGTCCTCATCAGACGTGCTCGCGCCGGTCCTGGGCTCAGTGCTGCCCGCCATCGCGCTGCTGGTGGTGATCGCCATCGTGATTATCGTTGTGCTGCTGGTAACCATGCGCCGGCGCAAGATCCATGATGACTGGGAGATCGCCTACGAGGAGCTCGATGTCGGCGACATGCTCGGCCGCGGCGGCTTCGGTGAGGTCTACAAGGCCAAGTGGAAGGGCTCCGAGGTCGCCGTCAAGGTCGTGGGCGCCGGCACCATTAGCAAGGACGGCCGCGACAGGGTTCGTACCTAACATTGTCCGCATTCCACTGACTTGACGTTTTTGTCGGACTAAGCTCACGGCGTTATTTTCTCGGTCTTTAGTTTGTGAACGAGGCCAGGATCATGAGTCACCTGAGGCACCCCAACGTGGTGTTGTTCATGGCGGCGTCGACCAAGCCGCCCAAGATGTGCATCGTCATGGAGTTCATGGCCCTCGGCTCCCTCTACGACGTACGTACACCCACCCCGCACGCCTGTATGTCCGAGAACTGTTCTGATCGCTGCGCGTTGTGTCATGTATGTTCACACAGCTGCTGCACAACGAGCTCATTCCGGAAATTCCGCTCGTCTTGAAGGTCAAGATGATCCACCAGGCGGCCAAGGGCATGCACTTCCTCCACTCGTCGGGCATTGCGCACCGCGACCTCAAGTCGCTCAACCTCCTGCTCGACAACAAGTGGAACGTCAAGGTCTCCGACTTTGGCCTCACCAGCTTCAAGGAGTCGCTCGGCAAGGGCCGCGGCGGCAACGGCAGCGCGACGGTCGAGGGCAGCGTGCCGTGGATGGCGCCCGAGGTGCTCGAGGAGGCCAACGAGGTGAGCCACGAGCTGGCTGACCTCTACAGCTACGGCATCATCATGTGGGAGGTGCTGACCCGCAGCCAGCCTTACGCCGGCCTCGCCCCGGCGGCCATCGCAGTCGGCGTGATCCGCAGCGACCTCCGGCCCAAGCTGCCCAGCGACCTGGTCGAAGCTGAGGCCGGTTACGTGGAGCTCATGCAGGCCTGCTGGAGCCGCGACCCGACCATGCGTCCGTCGTTCGACCACATCATGTCCCAGCTCAAGACCCTGATCGAGCTGTCCAGCGGCGGCTCGAGCCACATCAGCGGCACCACCAGCGGTAGCAGCAGCAGTAGCAGCAGCCTGCCGGTGGTCAGGCGCGGCCCCGGCCAGGCCCTGGTGCGCGACGGCAGCAGCGTATCGGGCAGCAGCAACGCCTCGAACGAGCACCGCTCCGGCGGCTCGAGCTCCGGCGGACGGCCCGACGTGGTGGCCCGCCACAGCGTCGCACCGCGGCGTGACGTCACCTTCGTGGTGTGCGACCTAGCCCGGTGCAACGAGTCGTGGCAGAGCAACCCCGCGGGCACGGCCAAGGCGGTCACCCGCTACGGCCGCCTGGTGCGCAAGCTGGTGGCGCCCAGCGAGGCCGACGAGACCCGCCACGCCAAGCACGCCGGCGGCTACGTGTTCTCGCGGTCGAGCCTGCACAGCGGTGGCACATACCTGGTGGCCTTCGGCAGCCCTCTGCGCGCGGCCTCCTTCGCGCTCGAACTCCAACAGGCCGTGCGCGACGGCAAGTGGCCCAAGGACGTGCCCCGGCTCAACTCGCGCGTCGCAGTGCACCACCGGCCCGGCCCGTGCCGCGCGCCCGTGGACGACCTGACACGTACCGGCTACGAGCCAGCACAGTACAAGGAGGCCTGCGAGCTCAACCTCCGGTGCCCGCCGGGGCGAGTTGCCTGCTCGCCCGACTTCCGTGCAGTCGTGCTGGCGCTCCTCGATGAGCAGCCGTCGGCCCAGTCGCCCGGCCGTGTGCGGCGAACGACGCCCAGGAAGAACACCAACGTGATGCTCAACGACGCTCAGTTCACGTTCCGTTGGCGCGGCGATGACGTCTACAGCCTAGAGTCGGGCGATGACACCGCCAGCAATCACAGCGGCAGCCACAATGGCGACGACGACGATGACAACGACGGCGAGGTGTGGGACGAGCGGTTGGACCAAGGCATGGGCCTGTGCTCGTCGAACTGGTGCCCGTGGATCATCGACCGGCGCAAGATCACGACGGGCGTCGAGGTCGGCCGGGGCAACTACGGCCAGGTGAGCGAGGGCACCTACGACGGCCGCCGCGTGGCGGTCAAGCAGCTCTACAAAGGCCGACTGGATGATGCGGCCATGGTCAAGATGCGCAAGGAGGCCGCCCTGCTGAGCGACATCGACCACCCGCACGTGGTCAAGCTGATCGGCCTCTCGATCGCTGAAGGAGGCAGCCCGATGCTGGTGATGGAGCTCATGCCGCGCGGCAGCCTGCGCGACCTCCTGAGTAACCGCTCGGTCAAGCTGACGTGGAGCCGCCGCCTGAGAATGCTGCGCGATGCCGCGCTCGGTATCGCGCACCTGCACGAGCGCGGCGTGCTGCACCGGGACATCAAGTCGTCCAACCTGCTCGTCGACGATGACTGGAGCGTGAAGGTGGGCGACTTCGGCTTCGCCACAGCCAAGCAGGACAACGGCACCATGACCCGCTGCGGCACGCCCTGCTGGACCGCGCCAGAGATCATCAGCGACAGCTTCAAGCACAGCGAGAAGGCCGACGTTTACAGGTTCGGACTTGAAAACCTGCCTCTCGTCTTCTTTCTGGCGCACCAGTTCGGAGTTGAGAAAACTAACACTCACTCTCACTGTGAACAGTTTCTCGATCGTCATGTGGGAAGTGCTCACGAGGGAGACGCCCTATCACAACAAGAACATGACCACGGTGGCGATGGACGTCATCAGCGGCGAGCGGCCGCCGGTGCCAGCCGACTGCCCCAAGACCTATGCCGACCTCATGGAGCGCGCGTGGAACGGCAAACCCAGCAAGCGGCCTGACATGGAGGAGATCATCATGTTCCTCAACGCGGAAGCCGATGGCGTTGATGTGTGAAGTTACACTCTCTTTTTGTTCTTCCTGAGAATTGCCACCTCCAACAACCAACAGCTACACTCTACTAGCCAAGCACAGGGAAGGGCTGGTAGCTGAGCCATTGCAGCTGGTTGTGTTCTATTGCAAGCCTAGGGCAAGTGCAGGGGCTAGAGAGGGGCTTCCTGGCACATGAGGCTTGGCCATATCAGCAACACACTGAAATCAGACTGCTAATAAAAGGTTGGAGTCTCAGTAATGGCGTGAAAAAATGGGGAATGGTGGGAGTGTGGAAGAGGTCTTTGTTCAAATCTACAGATAACCTATAAAATAAACTTTCCTCTTTCCTCCAATGTACACTTCCTTGTAATCAACTTTGTGTCTCATGTACACCACTTTTTTATTTCGTTGGAAAGTACACTTTGAAATGAGCACTCCATTAGTGACTAATGCTTAACTTGGCTCTTTCTGCTGCATTGACACCACTGCTCAGGTTCTGGTTCTTTTAAATGACAACATGACGTTCTCCTCGCCCAGATAACCCAAAAGTGCTCTTGTGCACACACCTGGCAGCATTTCTCAGAAATTATGAGAACTACAAGAACAGCAACATCTTGCCATGCAGCCTAACACATGCTCTCAAGCTCTACAACAATCCTCTCAAGCCCAAAGGTGCTGAGCACAACTCTGCCTTTGCCACTTGCTGCCTTGGTGCTCTCTCCATTCTTGTGTTGCTGTGCCACTGCAGCTGTCCATATGCTGGACTTCTTCAAGTTCTTTCTTCCACTTGTACATTTCAACAACCTCTGCTAAAAATCTGGCTGACCCACTCCCCAGGTGTGTGACTATGGCACTTGTCTTCATGTCAATGACTATGACATGTGGTTTCTGTACTACCAACATCTGCTGCTGGTCAAACAGGAAGAGCTTTGCTGGCCCTATTCCTCTTCCTGCTTCCCTCTTCCCCCACCTGCGCCCAGCCACTTTTGTTGACATTGCCACAAGGACAACTGCTGCTGTGCAGTGCTTGTTGGAAAATGCAGATGAGTAATTTTACTAGACTTTTGCTTGACTTGTGCCCTCTCAACCTTATTCCAGAATAACAGTCAGCTCTTCTTTTCTGCTGGAATCTTTTTTCTGGCCTTCCTTTCTGTCTTTCCCCCCTCCCTGAGGGGTCCCATTCAACATTTTTTGCATGTAATTGGTGTTTTTTGGGCTTGACATTTATCCTGATAAGGGATGGAAAAATTCGAATTAGTTTCTATATTATTTTACCTCAGGCGTCTCCTTGGTGGGGGCGGCCTTGTGCTGGCTGGTGAGAACGTCGTCGAGGAAGGAGCACACCCTCTGCATCTTGCCCGGGAAGTCGGTGGTATTGTCCGCCACGAAGGTGCGCGTGTGCGCGATCCACGCGTGCTTCACCTGCACACAACCCCCAGACACCACGCGCCTTAGCACTCGCCTCGCGTGTGCGGTGATGCGTGTGTGGTGGTGTGTGAGGGCTGACCTTATCGTCCAGTTCCCTGGCCTGCTCAATTCCCTCAGTTCGAGCGGCGTTGTTGGCCGTGGTGTAGTACGACTCCGCTCCGTTGGCCGCCGTCACCTGGACGAAGCAGGTCAGCGCTCATAGCCGCCAAACAGCCTACGACACCGGTCCTACGCGACACAAAACACACGGTACCAGGTGCACGACGGCGGTGTATCTCTCTCTGAGCTGCTTCTCGGTGATGTCCAAGTCCTGCAGTAGCTTCTTCCAGAAGCTGTATGGCAGGTACGCCGAAATGTCCAAAGCGGCCTGTCGCCCAATCGCAAAACAAACAGAATAAGAGCCAAGCGCGTGTGTCGTGTTGTGCCGTGTCATGTTGCGCGTTGACCGGCTGTTTGCACGTACCCTGTCGAGGAGAATGACGGTGGGCTTGTCCATGGCCGAAGCAATCTTCTTCATGGACTCTTCGAGCTGGATCTGCGTGGTCAAGATCTGCTTCTCGAAGGCCAGCAGTTGCTCCTCGTTCATCGACGAAATGGTGGGGACACCGGCTGTCGTCACGCACGACACGCTGTAAGTCGATCACGCCACACGACACACACGACACACACGACACACACGACACACACGACACACACAGCACACACACGGCACGCGCGGGCGTAGATGGGACACCGGTGAATACGAGGGTGGGAATCTCGGGCACGGAGTAGACCTCGTAGCCCTGCGCGCGCAGGTGCTTGGTAAGCGTGGCCAGCGCGGTGGACTTGCCGCCGCAGGGACCGCCCGTCAGCACCACCGTGTACACTTGGCTGTCTGTGCGAGGCCAGAGATGAGTACGATGATGAAGAAGCTGAAGATGATGAAGAAGAAGATGGTGATGGTGATGCAGTTGATGAAGCTGATGGTGACGACGACGACGATGACGATGAAGTAAAAGAAGGGTACGACGGAGAGAGTGAGCGTACCGGAGTGGGACTGGTCGAGCCTCTGCAGCGGGTCGACTTCGACGATCTCGGGCTTCAGGGCCTCCTTGAGCTCCCTTATGGCGTCGGCCTTCTTCTTGAGCTCTTGGCCCCAGATGATGTAGCCGCCCGCTAGTTTGTGCAGAAGTTACACACGCGTCGAGCTCGTTAGCACACAAGGCACCACCGCACACGCACCACCACACGCGCACGCTAACCGAACGTAAGGAGGGGAGGGGGGATTGTACCGAGACCGAGGGTGCAGCCGAGGGTGTACTCAAACACGGATTTGTGGGAGGTCAGCACATCGAACTTGGGCCTGAGCGGCTTGTCGGCCTTGGACCGCGCGGCACTACGGAGCGCCTGCCCTCCTGTCCCAGCGCGCAATACAGTGGCGCAGAGTTAGATCCAATTCCAATTCAACCACTTGATTCTCCCCAGATTGTGTCCGATCTCGGCCCGAGATGGCGGCACGGATACCAGTAGACACGAGGCGGGTATGAGAAGAGCCACACACACGCTGAGCCAAACCTCGTGCATTCGCCTTCATCTTATTTAACAAAAAGAAACAATAACAAATAAAAAGAAATTCGTTTTTTTCATTTTAAGCCAATTTTTAGAGAATTACATTTGATTTTGAAGTCTTACGTCATGAAGGCGACGCCACCGCGGCACAAGCATGAAGAAGAAGAAGAAGAAGAGGCGAGTAGCACTTCACGCATCGACGCCACCAGCTTCGGCGTTGAGGAACATGATGATCTCCTCCATATCGGGCCGCTTGCTGGGTTTGCCGTTCCACGCGCGCTCCATGAGGTCAGCGTAGGTCTTGGGGCAGTCGGCTGGCACCGGCGGCCGCTCGCCGCTGATGACGTCCATCGCCACCGTGGTCATGTTCTTGTTGTGATAGGGCGTCTCCCTCGTGAGCACTTCCCACATGACGATCGAGAAACTGTTCACGGTGAGAGTGAGTGTTAGTTTTCTCAGCTCCGAACTGGTGCGCCAGAAAAAAGACGAAAGGCAGGTTTTCAAGTCCGAACCTGTAAACGTCGGCCTTCTCGCTGTGCTTGAGGCTGTCGCTGATGATCTCTGGCGCGGTCCAGCAGGGCGTGCCGCACCGGGTCATGGTGCCGTTGTCCTGCTTGGCTGTGGCGAAGCCGAAGTCACCCACCTTCACGCTCCAGTCGTCGTCCACAAGCAGGTTGGACGACTTGATGTCCCGGTGCAGCACGCCGCGCTCATGCAGGTGCGCGATACCGAGCGCGGCATCGCGCAGCATTCTCAGGCGACGGCTCCAAGTCAGCTTGACCGAGCGGTTACTCAGGAGGTCGCGCAGGCTGCCGCGCGGCATGAGCTCCATCACCAGCATCGGGCTGCCGCCGTCGGTGATCGAGAGGCCGATCAGCTTGACCACGTGCGGGTGGTCGATGTCGCTCAGCAGGGCGGCCTCCTTGCGCATCTTGACCATGGCCGCGTCGTCCAGTCGGCCTTTGTAGAGCTGCTTGACCGCCACGCGGCGGCCGTCGTAGGTGCCCTCGCTCACCTGGCCGTAGTTGCCCCGGCCGACCTCGACGCCCGTCGTGATCTTGCGCCGGTCGATGATCCACGGGCACCAGTTCGACGAGCACAGGCCCATGCCTTGGTCCAACCGCTCGTCCCACACCTCGCCGTCGTTGTCATCGTCGTCGTCGCCATTGTGGCTGCCGCTGTGGTTGCTGGCGGTGTCATCGCCCGACTCTAGGCTGTAGGCGTCATCGCCGCGCCAACTGAACGTGAACTGAGCGCCGTTGAGCTGGTACGTGTTCTTCCTGGGAGTCGTTCGCCGCCCATGGCGGGGAGACTGGGCCGACGGCTGCTCATCAAGGAGCGCCAGCACTACTGCCCGGAAGTCGGGCGAGCAGGCAACTCGCCCCGGCGGGCACCGGAGGTTGAGCTCGCAGGCCTCCTTGTACTGTGCTGGCTCGTAGCCGGTCCGTGTCAGGTCGTCCACGGGCGCGCGGCACGGGCCGGGCCGGTGGTGCACTGCGACGCGCGAGTTGAGCCGGGGCACGTCCTTGGGCCACTTGCTATCGCGCACGGCCTGTTGGAGTTCGAGCGCGAAGGAGGCCGCGCGCAGCGGGCTGCCGAAGGCCACCAGGTATGTGCCACCGCTGTGCAGGCTCGACCGCGAGAACACGTAGCCGCCGGCGTGCTTGGCGTGGCGGGCCTCGTCGGCCTCGCTGGGCGTCACCAGCTTGCGCACCAGGCGGCCGTAGCGGGTGACCGCCTTGGCCGTGCCCGCGGGGTTGCTCTGCCACGACTCGTTGCACCGGGCTAGGTCGCACACCACGAAGGTGACGTCGCGCCGCGGTGCGACGCTGTGACGGGCCACCACGTCGGGCCGTCCGCCGGAGCTTGAACCGCCACCGGAGCGGTGCTCGTTCGAGGCGTTGCTGCTGCCCGATACGCTGCTACCGTCGCGCATCAGGGCCTGGCCGGGGCCGCGCCTGACCACCGGCAGGCTGCTGCTACTGCTGCTGGTGGTGCCGCTGATGTGGGTCGAGCCGCCTCTGGACAGCTCGATCAGGGTCTTGAGCTGGGACATGATGTGGTCGAACGACGGACGCATGGTCGGGTCGCGGCTCCAGCAGGCCTGCATGAGCTCCACGTAACCGGCCTCGGTTTCGACCAGGTCGTGGGGCAGCTTGGGCCGGAGGTCGCTGCGGATCACGCCGACTGCGATGGCCGCCGGGGCGAGGCCGGCGTAGGGCTGGCTGCGGGTCAGCACCTCCCACATGATGATGCCGTAGCTGTAGAGGTCAGCCAGCTCGTGGCTCACCTCGTTGGCCTCCTCGAGCACCTCGGGCGCCATCCACGGCACGCTGCCCTCGACCGTTGCGCTGTCGTTGCCGCCGCGGCCCTTGCCGAGCGACTCCTTGAAGCTGGTGAGGCCAAAGTCGGACACCTTGAGGTTCCACTTGTTGTCGAGCAGGAGGTTGAGGGACTTGAGGTCGCGGTGCGCAATGCCCGACGAGTGGAGGAAGTGCATGCCCTTGGCCGCCTGGTGGATCATCTTGACCTTCAAGACGAGCGGAATTTCCGGAATGAGCTCGTTGTGCAGCAGCTGTGTGAACGACACAACGCGCCGTCAGAACAAAGTTCTCGGACACGAATGCGCGTGCTGTGCGGGGTGGGTGTACGTACTTCGTAGAGGGAGCCGAGGGCCATGTACTCCATGACGATGCACATCTTGGGTGGCTTCGTCGACGCCGCCATGAACAACACCACGTTAGGGTGCCTCAGGTGGCTCATGATCCTGGCCTCGTTTACGAACTAAAAGACCAGAAAGAAACGACGTGAGGTTTGTATCGCACAAAAAGCCTCTAAAGTCAGTGGAATGACGATGTTAGGTACGAACCCTCTCGCGGCCATCCTTGCTGATGGTGCCGGCGCCCATGACCTTGACGGCGACCTCGGAGCCCTTCCACTTGGCCTTGTAGACCTCGCCGTACCCTCCGCGGCCGAGCATGTCACCGACATCGAGCTCCTCGTAGGCGATCTCCCAGTCATCATGGATCTTGCGCCGGCGCATGGTCACCAGCAGCACCGCGATTATCACGACGGCGATCACCAGCAGCGCGATGGCGGGCAGCACTGAGCCCAGGACCGGCGCGAGCACGTCCGATGAGGACGAGCCGGCGGCCGACTGCGCGAACTGGCAGTGGTCGCCGATCCAGCCGGCCGCGCACGAGCACTCGCCGCCAACGCAGCTGCCGCGGTCGGAGCAGATCGTGCCGTTGATGACACAGGCCTGCAGCGAGAACACGTAGGCCCCGGTCGATGTCGACTGGACCATGGCCAGCATGGTGACCGTTCGATGGCGCACCTCAGGCACCTGCCCCGGCACGGCGAGGTTGTAGTTGTTGGCCACGGTGGACGCCTGGGTCGAAGTCTGCGTCCAGTACACCCAGTCGAGCAGGCCCTGGGCCGTCGAGTAGTCGCCGGGCGCCTGGGCGTAGATGGTGAGCACGGCGTACCCCACCAGCGGCCAGCTCAGCCGGCCCGGGCCGTTGACCAGGTGGAGCGCGGTGGCGTCGGCGGAGAAGTCCATGACAGCGGCCAGGATGCAGGTCTGGTTGGCCGACACAACTGTGTTGGCCGGGTTGACCAGCGAGGCGGCCTTGACGTTGCGCACCTGCGTGATGACCTGGGTCGAGAACCACACGCCCAGCGAGTAGTCGGCCGCGCTGATGGCGGCCACCGGGTCGCTGGTGCAGGCCACGGCCCGATAGCCCGCAATGGCCGCGGCACCGTTGGCCAGCCCAGCGAAGGCCTGCGTCAGCATGGACTCGATGGTCAACGTCTGGTCGCAGCCCACAACCAGGCGGATGGCGCGGTTGGGCAGATGGGCAGCTACCGACGGGTTGAGCGCGGCGATGGTCGTGTCGTTCCACTGCGTCACAAGGCCGGCGAACACCGAGGCGAGCACGTCGATTGTCATGATCAGGCTCGGCTGCGAAGACAGGCTCGACACAAAGTAGGCCGGCACCAGCGCGTAGGCCACCGCAGGAATGCCAAGAATGTCGCTGTCCTCGACGTCGCGTTTGGAGGTGGGAGTGACATCGACGGCCGTGGGAGACCAGGTGTAGGAGACGGCGTAGTCGGTATCGCCGAGGCGCATCTGCTCGATGGCGTGGGCGCTGGTGGCCTCGAAGTGTTTGATGGCGAAGGACTCGGTCTGGAACTCCTGGGTCCAGTCGCCCATGAGGTCGATCTCCTCGCCGATGCCCAGCAGCACGGGCGTGGTGAGCACCGGCGTGCCCTGGCAGGTGATGGTGTAGAGCTCGTTGATGAGCCGCCGCCGGTAGGGGTTGGTGAGCGGCGCGAACTGGTTCTCGACGAACACGTCGGCCACGGCCTCGTTGAACTGCGTCCAGCTGAGGAACAGCAGCATGTTGCTCGCGCGCGAGCACCCGCCGGTGGTCGGGCTGATGGTCTTGGACAGGGTCAAGTAGCTGATGTAGCTCATCGGCCACGCGTCGGTCCCGTTCGAGTCCACCACGTCGATCACGAGCGTGCCGTTGTTGATCAGGTCGCTGAACTGGTCCATGGCGGCCTGCACCGCCGCCGGCGACCCGTCCACGGTCTTGCCGGCCCGGTTGATCAGGCGGATGTAGGGCAGGCCCATCGCGTCGGCCTTCTGGCGCTCCATGTAGGTCATCATGCCGGGCGTGGCCGCGGTCAGGTTGATCCTCTTGTCGCCGGTCTCGAAGGGGTCGCCGGCGAAGGCCCACTTGTTGGGACCCAGCGACGGCGTCATTTGCTCCAGCGCGTTGTTCGCCGTGGCCAGAGCGGTCTTGAAGTCTGGTGAGAAGCGCGAGAGCGCGGTCTTGAAGACAGCCGTGTAGCCCAGGGCGCTGGTCGACGGGCTCCAGTAGGTCATCGAGATATTGAGCGAGGGCAGCGTTACCTCCTCGTTCCACTGCGCGATGTCCTCGTGGTCCCACTGACGAATGTCGCCCTTCCTGTCCGCGGACCCAAGTTAATCGCCACGGATTAAAATCCTTGTAAGCAATCGGTTCGTTCAACCGATGAAGAAGTGAGTCAATGTTTGGGGGGGGGTTGAACTCGTACCAAATGCGAGCCAAGGTCTCGCGGTCCATGACGAGGTTGTCGCCCACCCCGAAGCCGGGCAGGTTGAAGGCGACGACGAGCGGGGTGCCCATCATGGGTATTTGGATGCCGTTGAAGGGGCTCAGCTGGGCCGCGCTGAGGCCCACGTCGGAGATGAAGAAGTCGAGCTCGCCCGCGGTGTACTTGGCCAGGGCTTGGGGGATGGTGGAGGTCTGGAAGGTGATCAACACGCGGTCGCGGTCGTAGCGGTACAGCTTGGTGAGACTGGCGAACACCTCCTGCACGTTGATGGCCCCGGAGCCGTAGATGTTGTTGGCCGCGCAGCCCCGGGGCCCGCCCGACAGCGTAACCAACAGCGCTAGCGCCACCACGGCCAACGCAGACGTCCACCACGAGGAGGGTGAGGGAAGGGAAGGCGCCATCTTCGTCACCCGCCTGACACTTTGTTCTTATCAGTTACTAACGTCAGGCAAGAGGGCGGACATCGACAGGATCAAAAAGTCAAGAGAAAGAGTAAAGTCGGGAGCTAGCTCGGAGAAATGCCAAAAACAGCACTTTCCTTTTTGGAGGAGAAGACTACCTTTTGTCAGAGAATGGCAAGCGCTGTGTTGCGGGAAAGGAAGCGGAGGTTGACCGCACTTGTCACGTGTTCGCGAAAACAGGTAAGCTGTTCCGATGCAACGCGGTAACCAGCCCCTGTAACGGCCAAATTTTTCCTTCTGCCCCTAAATAGATTCGCGCTGCATGCCCGACCAGTGCGTTCATTGGTCCTGGATGTCGGAGTGTTGGCATTGGTGTGTTGGCCTCTGCAACCTGCGCGCCAAGACCCTGGTAACTGACTGCCACTCCGTTAAAAAGGCTCAGCATCGCAAATCTTCACTGTACCAACCTACTCGACCTACCACTACTACCAACCCTCTACTATAATCACTACCACCGCCATGAAGAGCATTCTCATCTTCGTTCTGGCCTTCGTGCTGCTCGCCGCCCTGGCCTGCAAGGCCAGTAATGACAACGGGGCCAGCGAGTGCGTCGAGTACAACAACCCGCCCGGCGCCATCGGCACCACGGGCACCTGGTCCATCCAGGCCAACATCAAGAACAAGCACTGCGTGCCCATCCACGTCGCCGGCATGCGCGGCATCAACCCGAACAACAACACGCAGGTCTCGCTCGCCAACGGCGTCTACGCCCGCGTCAAGCAGGCCTTCGTCAACATGCTCTTCAACGCCGCGTCTGCTGGCGCCACCGCCCAGGACTGCGCCGAAGTGGTGGTCTACGTCGTCGACATGGTCTCCATCCGCCCCGTCGTGAACCAGGTCCAGACCGAGCTCTGGGGCGCGCCCACCGCAACCAACCCGTTCCCCTTCCCGCCCCGCACCATCCTCCAGATCAGCGGCTTCAACGGCCTCACTTGCCAGTACGCCACCGAGCCCAAGTACCGCCAGGGCACTGCCGGTGCCAACGGCCAGGTCGTGTGCGCTGACAACGGCACGCCCATCGGTGACATCATGGAGGTCAAGGGCACCTTCTACGTCCGCGACTAAATAGCCTTGCGCGGGATTGTAAACGCATATTGATATTCGTAATGCATCAGATAGTATTTATAACAACACACCCGCCCTCTCTTCCTTCCCGTATCGTCAAGAAGTGACAGTGGTGGGAAAACGGTTCTTGTTCACTTCAGTGGGGCCGAAACACTATTCTGTCCGGGTGTGCTCTTTCGCGTCGCGCTCATAGCGTACGAAACCAGGTGGCTGCCGCTAAAGAGTAAGCACGTAAAATGCTTTTTGGGTGCGTCTCTTTTCGACAGCTATTGCAGAAACGCGGGTTTTGTTCTAGTTTTCCGAGCATTCCCTTTTAGTTTCCTTTCTAATTTCCGCAAAGGTAGGTTCTCACCTGACAAAGGCCATGCGGGGTGGAGGAATTATATTGATATTCTGATTGTTTTCTGTGATAGTGTTTTGTGACACATCACAGATAAATAAGTTTGTGGCAAACAAGTTCATAATCAATATTGCTCCTGTATCACAACAAATTATACAAGAGACACTTGTGCACAAGCCCCATGGGGCTGCAGTCAGAGCCCTCAGGCACTTTCAGTAGTTGGTTTTCTGAGGTGCCTGAGTCTCCAGGGGTAGTGCAAGAGTTGTCAGTGTCATTGCCAGGCCAGTCCCTTCACATGCTAAGAAGGTGTGACCAAAGTGATGGTGTCAGTTAGTGTTGTGAGTATTGTTAGTGTTGTCTGTTTTTCCCTTGTTATGGTTTTACTAACTCTTTAACCACCCACTCCTTTGGGAGTAGTCCTAGGAGGATGGCTGCCTTTCAGTGGCTATTGTCTCCCATCCATGTCTTTATTGATATTGTTTCACTCATTAGTCCTTCAAAGAGTGTGTCTATTTTGTTTAGATAAATTTCTCTCTAATTTCTTTTGTATTTTTGCATTCTCTGAGTAGGTGTGCCATGTCTTTGATTTTGTCTTTCCCCAAATCCTTGCACGTCATGCAGAGTGCCTCTTCGTTTTCTATTGCTGCTTCTCTTGGTATGTCTCTATTCCTCATCCTCCATCTGTGGTGTCCTATTTGGCTTCTTTTCAGTCTTAATTTGTGTACCAGATTTATGTCATTTGCTGATTTGTATTTCAGGCGATGGGTGATGTGATTTGTGATCTTCCATGCGACTTCATCTTTTGTTGTCTACTATGTTTGTTTTAATCCCTTTCTTGTATTTCTTTTGTATTTTGTTTTTAATAAATTTCCTCATGCTTGAGTCTATCCATTGGCCTTTTCCATAGATTCTGATGTCCATCTCTTCATTGCTGAGTCTCTTGTATGGTTCTGTGTCAGGTAAGGATGTCCCTTCACCAGGACTGCTGTCTTGAACAGGTCTCCCCATTCTTCCATTTTTTGTAGTTTCTTGTTCCATCTAATGTCTCCTTTCCTTGTTATCTTTTTCTTTGTGATGTGGCTGTAGATGTGCATGCATTTTGTGGTGTATCCTTTTAGATTTTGCTTCATCAGTTCTTCATGAATCCTTTGTTCCACTGATCTTTTTGTGCATATACTTCTCCTTTGCAGGTTGAGGACTAGCTTGTTCATCAGGGTGCTCACCAACTCATTGTCTGTTACAATGTGTACCTTCAGTAGCATGCTACTCAGCTCCACTGCTTTCAACATGGCCTGAAGTTCTGTGTTGTCTGACGTTTGGTCCCCCACAGTACATGCTTTAGTGTTGAGGTGGCTGTTTTTTGCACAGTATATGCCATATCCTGCTTTCCCTGCTTTAGTCTTTGAGCTGTCCATCCATAGTATTATCTCATCGTTCCTTTTGTTAGTGTATCCCCCAGACTTGGTAACATGTTTGTTTGTGTCTTCCAATTGCCTACAGATTTTCTCAGGACACAGCTTTTTGGTAACATCATCTTTTCTCTGGTCAGTGTGGTAAGGTCCAGAGGCAGTTGCCCAAGGGTTTCCTCTACACTATTGCCTGTTGTGCTCATTTCTTGTGATTGGCTTCTTATTCTATTCCATAGGGCGCTCAGGCGTGGATCAGTTAGGACACATCAAGCATTCATACATGCTGCTCTCATCTTCTCCTCCATTTCATTTTCAGATTCCTCTGGGAGGGGTGCGAGGTTACTCACAAGTTCCTTGTCTTCTGTTGATTCAGCTACCATCTCTAGTTCCTCTTGATGTAGTAGCACTATGATGTGTTGGGTGGTTGGTAACCCTTTCCCTCTCCATCTGTAATCCCTCTTATGCTAAGCATGGATCTTTCCCCTGTTGGGCCAGGTGCTTTCCTGTTTGATATTCTTTGTAATGTGTCTTTAATTTCTTTTATTTTAGTCTTAGCCATGAGCATCAACATGTCTCCTTCAATTCATTTTGCTTCTCCTATCCATGTGTCTGGGGGGTTCCCCCATTGGTAGTTCATGGTGTTGGAAGTGACCTTCCCATGTGGTTCATACATATTCTTTGATTTCTTCTGGTTCAGTTATCATTCTCATTTCTCCATTTATCCCCCATTCTATGCCTAGCTTCACGCTCTGCGTTTTTTTTCCCCACAGGTTATTTAAGTCTTTTCCACACATCTGTGAGTCTGAGGGTTTTTTCTAGTCTTTGTAGTGGTTCATTTTTGGTGGGATTATATTTATTTAATTTTTGGTCTTTTTGTCTTGTCGTCATGTTCCAGTCCCCACCCATCAGTATTTCTCCTGATAGTTTTTTTACCCAGTCACTTAAATTATAATAAAATACATTTTTATTTTATTTTCCTTGTGCTGGGGCGTAAATATTTATTATATTCAGGGGTTTTCCTTTTGTATATATTTTAATAGTGCAAACTTGTCCTCTTGCCCATTTGTTGTTTGGAGTGATGTCCTGTGTCACACCTTCATAGATATCCACACACAAGCCATGTTAAATACCCACACAAACAGGGATAGAAATTTGTTGGATCACTTCTTGATTTCTCTACCTTTTTAGTCTCATTTTCTTCTATTCTTCTCACAGTATTTTGTACTTGTACAACTCCAAACTCCTCAATACATTACTCTTCTTTCCAAAGCTTTACATCTTCACTTCTTGATTTCTCTACCTTTTTAGTCTCGTTTTCTTCTATTCTTCTCACAGTATTTTGTACTTGTACAACTCCAAACTCCTCAATACATTACTCTTCTTTCCAAACCTTTACATCTTCATGGCTTCTCAGCCCTCGTTCATCTCTCAACCTTCCAACAGGTTATGGGCCTTCCAACAAAATTATCTTTTATCATTTTCTATTTCTTTTCCTATTAATTTGGCATGGAGGACAAGGGCGAGCTGCTGGGGGATGTGCTGGTGCTTGCGTGCGGCGGTACCATCGGCCAGCGAGAGGTGGACGGCCGTATGGTGGTCGTAGTGCCAGCTTCGGACCTGCTGGCCCCGGTTCTTGCCCACGCCTCCATGTCCGCCCTGTGGACACCGGCAGACTCGGCGGAGCCTGCTGGCGACGGCGCCACGTCAACCGGCGGTGGGCCGCCCATGGTGGATGTATTGAGCGTGGTGGCCCGTAGCGGGGTGTACATGGGGTGGGACGGGCTGCTGGCTCTTCGAGACGCGGTGGTGACGCACTGCCGCCACTACCGCGCTTTCCTCGTCATCTGTGGCACCGACAGCATGGTACAACGCACACACTACAACCGCCGCACCACTCATAAATCGCACGACGCACGCTCGCACGCACGCACCACAGGAAGAGGTGGCGTTTGCGTTGGAGCTGCTGATCGACCCGGCGGCAGACTCGCTGGGCCGACCGGTCGTCGTGACCGGCGCCATGAAGCCGCACGACGTGCTGGGCTACGACGGCCACGCCAATCTGCGGGACGCCCTGGCCGTGTGTCTCGACCCCCACGCCCGAGGACTCGTACGTGTGTGCGATGGCCCGCTTGTGCAGTTTGGTTTGCTGATGAGGAAAGCACTCGAAACACGACACAGGGGACGCTGGTGGTGATGAACGACGCCATCCACGCGGCGCGCTACGTTCAAAAGCTGGACTCCCAGTTGATCGGCAGCTTCTCGTCGCTGCCGGCCGGTCCGCTGGGCCAGATACGCAACGGGCGGCCGCTCCTCTACCACCGCGCCCTCCCGCCCTTCCCGCACCGCCCCGTAGCGGTGGCGGCGGCCTCGAAGGAGCAGAAGCCGTGGCGCCTGCGGGACCGGGTACTGGTGTGGCCCATCACCCTGGGCTGTGGCGACTTCCTCATTCCCGACCACCTTCTGCGCACCCTCGACGGTACGTGGTTGTTCCTGCGCGACGACAGCCGCGGGCTGGGCAACTGAGTGTGTTTGCAAAAGGGCTGGTGCTGAGCGGCATGGGCACGGGCACGATCCCCGATTCGTACATCGAACACCTATCACCCGAGTGGACCAGCAAGTGCGTCGCACGCGCACACAAGCACCAGCGCACACACCACCGCACGCGCTGACTGATGTGGTTTCCTTCTTGGTGGTGGTGCACCGAGGTAGGTTGGCGATCGTGATCGTGTCGCGGTGTCCGCTGGGCCAGAACTACGACGACTTCTACTATCGGGGCAGCCTCCGCAAGTACACCGACCGCGGCTTCCTCGTGACCGGCTACGAGGACCTCAACCCGCTCCAGGCCCGCCTCAAGCTCATTGTCGCCCTCTCTCTTTCCTCCATCACCACCACCGGCCCAGCCTCCGCCTAGTGAGCGTGCGCGTGTTGTCGAGTTGCGCTTGCGTGCGGAACGCGCCACTTGTTGTGGGTATGTACAGGAAAAAGATGGGTTGGGCACACCCTCAGACGCCGACTCTAGCAAGAAGTAGGCGCGCGGCCTCGCTGCCCGGGTGCGACGCGGTCTCGCTGGCAGCGCGGACGGCGGCCATCGTCTCCTCGTTCTCCTTGATCCCAGCCTGCACTCGACCTTTGTGCCGTGTCGTGTCGTGTCGGCACCAATGTCTGGGCGGGCGGGGCGTGTGGGCGTGGGGGGAGTAAAACGCACTGTTGTCGAGGGAGAGGCCGAGCAAGACTTCGGCGGCGTCGGGGAACAGCTTGTCGTCCCTGAGGAAGGACATGACCTGCTCGAGGCCCGTCGTCCCATCGTCCTGCTCCTCCAGGAAAAAGTCCTGGAACCTGCCGTCGCACACGACACGCACGACACGCACACGATGCGCACGACACGCACGACACACATCGTGAGATTGGCGGTGAACGTGGATGGGGGGATCGAGCGTATGTACTGGCGGCGGAGGTCGTTGGCGTCGGCGCCGGCGCGCTCCTGGACGAGGAAGGCGCGGAGGAGGGAGAGGAGATCGGGCAGGTTCTGGCGGAGGGACACCTTCTGATTCTTGCGCAGCTCGGCGACGAAGTACTGCGCCAGCGACGCGCTCAGCACCTTCTCGCACGTTTCAACTGCGCCGGATACAGGACATGTCACTGGTCGTTGGTCGTGTGTCGTGTCGTTGGTCGTGTCGTGTCATTGGACGTACCATCGGCGACGGCGCTGAGGGCATTGAGGAGTGCGAGCAGGGCCAGGGGTGTCCTCCGCTTGGCAAACTTGGCGCGGCCTTCGGTGAACAAGTCGAGGGCGTGCTCGACGCCCCCGTGCTCCAGCAACACATCCCTGGTGCTCTTACCCTCTGTGCGCGCACGAGAACTCAGTTAACATTTCTTCTCTTTCCTGTCGTGTCGTTGGTCGTGTCGTTGGTCGTGTCGTGTCGGTACCATCCATGGTAACGAAAGGTACGAGCGCGTTGGCCGAGTGTTTGATGATGTCCTCGCCCGATTCGATGGTGGTCTGCAGGAACAGCTGTGCGAGGACCGGCCCCAGCTCGCCGCCGTCGACCATCGCCGCGCGCAGGCGCAGGTCGTCGCCCAGTCGCACGAACACGTTGAGCAGGGCGACGAGCTCGGCCTTGGTCGAGTCGACGAGGGGCGTGCGCAGCAGGAAGACGGCGTGCTCGACGAGCTCGGGCGTGGCCATGGCCTCGCGCAGCTCGGGCGCGCGGCAGAGCCGGCTCAGCGCGGCCGACAGGGCCGCCAGCACCGCGGCCTCCTCGCGCGACGGTACGCCGATGTCACCGCCGTCGCCGTCGCCGCCCCGCTGCGCCGCGTGATTGGTGATCGTCACCAGCAGCCGCACCATCGCCGACAGTACTCCCGTCCGGCGCATCATGCTCCACTGGCTCTCTGTGTTGTTCCGTGTGTCGTTCCGTGGTGTGAGTGTCGTGCCGTGTGTCGTGTTGTCCTGTGTGTCGTATGCGGTGATGGGTTACCATCCTGGACGTAGAAGAGGGTGGCGCGGGCAGCCTTGATCTGTGCGTTGTGGTCGCTGGTGGGAGCCAGGCTGGCGATGAGCGGCCGCAGCTTTTTCTGTTCCTCCTCGGTCGCTGCGGCCAGTAGGTCCTCCGCTTCCGTGTTGGGTACCCACGGCGCTGGCTTTCGCACTGCAGCCCCAAATAAAAAATAATAAATGATTTATTCTTTTTATCCATTTTCTATTTATTTAGTATCCACAAAAAGAATAAATGTAATCATGAATTAATGAAATAGTTGGAAGTTGGTTGAATGGGCAAACCTTTGGGTGCGGGGACGGCAGGGCGGGTGGTGCCAGCGGGGGCGGTGCCCTTGGTTGTTGGTCTGGAGGGTCCTGGGGGTGCGAGGTAGCGGCGCCAGATGGCGATGCCAGCCAGGCCCACCGCAGAGGCGAGCACCGCCGTGGACCACGAGGGCACCAGACCGAAGAGGAGATCGTCGTCGTGATCGGGAGGAATGCCCAGACCGTCCATCTTCTGCTCCTGTCTCTTTTTCAATCCAATTTTTTTCTTTTCCCTTTGCGTTACCGGCCACAGCTCGGAGCTAAGGAGCACTCGATGTAATTGCAGAAGAGCTGCAGACGCTTGACTGCCTTGGGACGGACGGATACATCAACGCGTACGTCCTTGTTTTGTCTTCCTCTTTGCCCTCGTGGCTCTTCTTTTTGCATCTCGCCTCTTTTTGATGATTGTTCAACTGCTGCGTTTGTGACCTCACAGGTGTCGAACGTACGACGATGCCGAGTGGCTCGGCGGGAAGGGGATGCAGGCCACCTTCATTGCCGCCAGGACCGATCCAAGGTACCGCCCACCCCTCTCGTGTTAACGGGGAGTTGTGAGAAATACTCGAGTGGGGGGGAGGCGAGCTGGGCAAGCGACCAGAGAGACGAGGAGGGAGAGGGAGGAGAGAGAGAGAGAGTTGATGGTGAATGCTCATTGAGTTTATGGACCCTGCACTTGTCAAATTGTTACGTAAATACTACAGCTGATGGGGCCGGACAATCGCCTCTTAGGCGCGGTTGTTGACGAGGACGGGGAAGCCGGTGGCGGTGCGGATGTTGTTGCCAGTGGTCGACTCGAACTTGACGCCGGCGTAGAAGAAGTAGGTGTCGAGGCCGGTGAGCTCAGCGAGAACGTCCTCGGGGCACAGCTCGTCGGCCTTGTAGGCGGCGGCCTGGAGCGAGAGGGCGGTGGTCATGGCCTGGCCGTCGACGGCGGCAGCGGTACGGGCGAAGCGGGCCAGGTACTCGGTGTTGAAGTTGTTGCTGTCGACCCACCTGTCGTAGCCGACGGCAGAAGCGGTGGGGACCTGCCTCTTGTAGAGCGAGGACTGGTCCTCCTCCTCCTCGACGAACTGCGACTCCTCGGCGGAGCGCTTGGAGGCGGGCGCGTAGAGCGGGTAGACGGAGAGCAGGGGCACATTGGTCTCGTCGAGCTTGGCGAGGAGGGCGGCGGACGGGGTGAAGTAGACGTTGGCGACGAAGAGGGCCTTGACGTCCTCGTCATTGAGGGCGGCCAGGAGGAGACCGTTGGTGAGCGCCCAGTTGGAGAAGTCGTCGACGTAGGTGACCTCGACATTGGCGGCCTCCGAGTTGCCGTCGAAGGGAATGCCACCGGCCTGGTTGATGTTCTCCTTCCAGAACTCGAAGACGGACTTGATGCGGTAGCCGTTGGGCTGGCCGTTGGGCTGGGTGGCATTGCTGTTGGGGAGGGTCGTGCCGGCGACGGGGGGAGAGAGCGAGAGCACGGCGACCACCTTGAAGGTCTCGCGGTCATCTTCGACGCGACGGCCAGGGTTGGCGATCACGAGGCCGTTGGGGCCGGCGTTGACGCCTGTGGGGAACTCGACGGTGCGGCCGAACCTGCTGCCGGAGCGGAGGTCGATCTTGGTGACGGCACCACCGCGAGCGGCCGTGGCGTAGCCGAATTCATCGTCCTCATCGATCACGACCATGACGGGGTCCAGGCCGAAGACGTCGACACGCTTGACCAGGCTGCCGGTGGCGTAGTTGATGATGAAGATCTGGCCGTTGGTCGAAGGGACCACGATGTACTGGCCGTTGTGGGTCATGGTGGGGTAGAGGAACTGGTTCACCACCCAATCAGCGGCCCAGAAGCGCCTGATGAAGGTAGGGGGGAAGCTGGCGACGGAGAACTCGATGACCTCGCCGACACCGCTGACGATGAGGCTGCCATTGGGGGCGAAGTAGAGGCCGCGAGAGCCGAGGGCAGCAGCGCTGGGGCTCTTAGCGGCGAAGGTGGCGGAGAAGGTGCCGCTGGCGATGTTGTACTTGGCAACACCCTGGGCGCCGAGCTGGAGCCACAGGTCCTGACCGTTGGGCGAGAAGACGAAGTTGTGGATCTTGTCCATCGTGGCGGGCACGCGGATGATCTGCGAGGGGGCCTGCGAGCCGCTGGTGAGGTCGAAGGTGATGAGCGAGGGCACGATGGTGGTGTTGTCGGCCGAGTAGATCTCGGAGTTGACCCACAGGGTCTGCTCGTCGGGCGACAGCTTCATGCCGTGGGGGCCACGATTGACGAGGCCGAAGGGCTCGCCGGCAGCAAAGAGGAAGAGCTTGGTCCTCTCGAGCATGAGCTTGACGTCGATGACCGACACGTAGTAGCCAGCATAACCGGTGGGCGAAGCATAATCGTGGAGGCCGAAGTTGGTCACCTGTGATAGTTTCAGTGGTTCCGCGTTAGCAGGCAGCGAGAGTAAGAGTAGGAGGTGAAAGATGGTGGCGAGAGGCGTACGTAGGCAGTACGGCCGTCGGCGGTCACGACGATCTCGTGGGGAAGAGAGCCGACCTTGACCTTGGCGAGGGGGCTGCCATCAATTTCGTAGATTCCGACCTGACCGGCGGGCTCCTCGACGGTGAGGAGCAGCGGGTAAGTCCGCGTGGCGGCGGCGAGGGCGAGAAGAGTGGCGAACACGAGGAAGACAACGTTTTGTCGCATCCTAGTGTGGTATAGTAGAGGGTTTTTTATGTAGGGTACAGGTAGGTTGTATAGCTGGTGTAGCTGAGGTGTGAGTCTGACTTTCGACTGCCGTTCTTTTTATACCTGGTCAAGCTCCGGAGCCCTCCAACGGCAGCAACATTTTGCTCTCCGCAAGACCACCTACCAATTGTCGTCGATGCATTTAAGGATGCCTGGTGCTTATTTGGGCAAGTGTGATTCTATTCTTACTGTGGATTCAGTTGTCCAGCCGGGTGGTCCACGCGTATCCAAATCGAGCTCTAGCTTTCCCCGCCGTGTGACGTGTAACAACCCAGGGTGGTTTCAGGCCAGGCAAGGAAACCCCAAACTTTTTGCCTTTCGTCCCTGATCCTGGAAAATGAGCCAAGAACATTCCTGGCCAATCTCATTCCATTTTTGGAGTTCATCACTTCCAGGTAAGCACACCGCGACCAACGTTGTTGCATCGGGAGGCACTTTATTTCTGTCACGCGCAACCACACCTCGCCCAGACCTCGCCTCGGAGCTTTGGTTACCGTGCATACGCTTAGGGAACAAAGCCAGCTACGTGCCAGTCCCTTGAGGACTCCTACACCGAACACCACCACCAAAGCAGGCCAACGCGAGCGAGTGGCAAGGAACAGTATTCAGCAAGCGCCCCGTCACTGAGCAGTACCAGACCCCTTCGAGAAGAAGTAGACAGACTAGGCGAGAGACAAGAGGAAGAGAGACAAGAGAGCAACCATCGCCACCATCGACCGCCACCGCCTCCACTACCGGCGTCTTCTTTTTCGCAACAACTTGTCAAGTTCTCTCCCAACGACACACCGCTGAACTCAGAGTTCTACGAACAGTAAGAACGCGACCGCGTACCACCGGAAGATGAGGGGCTCGGGCCGAGCCACTTCCCATAGGAGGCCCCGCACCGCCGGCGACTGCTCGTACTTCCTCCCCATCGCCCTCTCCCTTCTGATCCTCCTCCTCGCGGGCTTCGTCGAGCGCGCGGAACCGCTGGCGGTCCCCGGAACAGGCGAGGGCTCCGTGAGCGACATCTACAATTCGCTGGGAGCGGCCTATCTCAACGCCAAGGATGTGGTGAGCGTGGCCTACACGACCACCACCACGACCGTCAACACGTCGCTGGGCGCGCTCTCCGGCGGGCGGGTCAACTTCGTCGGTACGTCGAGTTCGATGGCGACCTACTACACCAGCGCCGCGGCCGCGACCTACGCGCAGATTCCGGTCATGGCCACGGCCATGGTGCCCGCCTACACCACCTCGGTCTTCCCGGCCCTCGTCTCCGGCTCGGTGCTCACCCTCACCGGCCCCGTCGTCGCCGGCATGTGGGACGGCACCTACACCGCGTGGAACGACACGGGCGTCGCCGCGGTCAACGCCAACGTGGACCTCACCACCGGCACCGACAACACGCTGAAGATCATCTACTGCAACGACGTGCTGGGCGAGGGCGGCGTGCTGGCCAACTACCTATCGGCCATCAGCCCAGCGATCAAGGCCGTATTCGACCAGTACAAGACCGACGGCTTCGCCCACCTGGCGGCCGTGACGGGCGGCCGCGCCTTCTCGGGCTGCACCAACGCCGCCAAGTTGGCGCTGCTCGCCACGCACCCTAAGTCGGTGGTCTTCTTCATGTACCCGGACTTCAAGAAGAACAGCACGGGCCTCTCGATCGCCAAGATGGCGGACAAGACCGGCACGGTGGTCGCGCTCACCGTGACCACCCTGGCGCAGGTGACCACCGCCATGGCCGCGTCGACGCTCAACAACAACGGCACGCTGGTGTACGACATGACCAACCAGGCCAGCGGCGCGTGGCCGCTCTCCACCGTGTCGTCGATGGTGCTCTACAACGACGATGGGGTCACCTCGGCCAACTCCATCGACTGCGCCACCATCAAGGAGGTGCTCTCCTTCCTCAGCTGGATCCAGATCAACGACAACGCCGCCACCCTCGTCAAGAGCTCCGGCTTCCTCCCGCTCACCGGCCGCCAGCGCATGAACATGCTCGACGCCCTGTCGCGCGTGATCTGCAACGGCCAGTCGGCCCTCACCACGGCCTTCCTGCTGGGCATGGGCCCAATCATCCCCACCTACACCTCGTGGGCCACCGAGTTCGGCTCGTCGGGCTTCACCCTCAAGTACTTCGCCACGTCGTCGGTCGAGGGCCTCGCCAGTCTGGTGGACAACTCGATCGACTTTGCCTCGACCGGCGCGCTGCTGACCCCCACCCAGCAGGCCGCCCTGCCCGACGTGCTCACCGTGCCCGTGGTCTCCTACGGCTTCGTGTGGAACTACAACATACCGGAGCTCATCAACACCGACTACCGCATCGTCCTCTCCTTCCAGGTCGTGTCCGACATCTACTTCGACAGGTCCGTCCGCGTGTGCTTTGTCATGTGTTCTCCGTGGTGTGTGTGTGTGTGTGTGTGTGGTGTGTGTTGCGTGTGTTGCGTGTGTGCGTCATGAACTAAAACTGTGCCTACAATCGACCACAGGATTAAGAAGTGGGACCACCCTGACATTCTGGCGCTCAACCCGAGCATCGCGTCGCTGCTGCCGGTCAACAAGTCGATTATCGTGACCTACTTCAGCACGGTCCAGGTCACGGCGCAGGCCATCAACCAGGCACTCTGCGCCAACGTGCCCGAGTTCAACAGCACCGTGGGCTGGACCGGCGTCCCGGTCTACCCGATCTCGCAGTCCTCGCCCGGCCGCACCCAGCCCTGCGCCACGCTGAACGAGGCCACCGTCGCCATGCGCACGCCCTACGCGCTCGGCATGGGCGTCTCCTTCACCGCGCTCACGTCGGCCCACCTGCGCCCGGCCTCGCTGATGATCAACGGCACCGTGCTGGCCCCCACGCGCGAGAGTATCGTGCAGGGCATCACCAACTCGGCGTCGCCGACTGACCTCTTCATCCTGGCGCCGCCCGGCAACTCCGACAGCTGGCCTATGATCTCGACCAACGCGCTCGCCGTGCACTCGCGCAACTCGGTGGACTGCACCAAGGCCAAGAAGCTGGTCGAGTTCATCTACTGGACGCAGACCGACGAGACGGCGGCGACGATCGCCAAGGCCAACAAGATGATCGTGGCCGGCCAGTCGGCGCCGGTGCGTCGGGCCATGCTCGCCTTCGTCGCCAACATCACCTGCGCGGGCGAGCTCGTGACCGATATCGCCTACTGCATCTTGAACGGCACCATCTGCGCGGACCACGGCACTTGTTTCGGCCGCACGTGCGTGTGCCAGTCGGGCTGGCAGGGCACCTACTGCGCGGAGCCCGTGCCGGAGGCCACCAACAGCGGCTCGACCGACGTGCTCGTGCCGCTGCTCGCCGCGTGCTTGCCATTCCTCGGCATTCTGATCGTGCTGGGCCTCATCCTGGGCCTCTTCCTCTACTGGCGCATCCGCCACCTTAAGATGCGCGACGAGTGGGAGATCCCCTACAGCGAGGTCGACCTGGGCGAGACCCTCGGCCAGGGCGGCTTCGGCTCCGTCTTCCGCTCCGAGTGGCGCGGCACCCAGGTCGCCGTCAAGGTGCTCACCGACGGCCGCATCAACAAGGAGATCGAGCGCAACTTCCGCGAGGAAGTGACCGTCATGTCCAGCCTGCGCCACCCCAACGTCGTCCTCTTCATGGGCGCCTGCACCAAGCCCCCGCGCATGTTTATCATCATGGAGTACATGGCCCTCGGCTCCCTCTACGAGCTCCTCCACAACGAGCTCGTCCCCGAGATCCCCCCGCTCCTCCGCATCAAGCTCCTCTACCAGGCGGCCAAGGGCATGCACTTCCTCCACTCGTCCGGCGTCGCCCACTGCGACCTCAAGTCGCTCAACCTCCTGCTCGACAACAAGTGGAACCTCAAGGTCTCCGACTTTGGCCTCACCAAGGTCAAGTCCGAGCTCATGAAGAACGGACCCCGGGGCGGAGCCGTCGGCACCATCCACTGGACCGCCCCCGAGGTCCTCGCCGAGAGCGAGAGCGTCGACTACGTCCTCGCCGATGTACGCACTTCACCGTGTGTCGTGTCGTGTGTGGTCGTGTGTTGTACGATGCGCGTGTGCGGTGTGTGTGTGTGTGTGTGGTGTGTGTAATGACTAATAACGCGAGTTCATTGGCCACACCACATAGACCTACAGCTACGGTATCGTGATGTGGGAGGCATTCACGAGGCAGCAACCCTACGAGGGCATGTCGCCGGCGGCGATCGCCGTGGCGGTGCTGCGCAACAACTACCGCCCGCCGATGCCGGAGGGCTACGACCTGTCGTCCATGCCGTCGGGCATCCTCGACGACTCCTTCTCGCCCGGCTCCACCCGGGGCCAGCCCGCGGGCTCCATCTCGGGCGCGTCGGGGGGGTTCCTGCGCTCGCCGGCGCTCGACAGCGACCTCAAGTACCTCCACCTCATGGTCCAGTGCTGGCACCAGGACCCGGTCATGCGTCCCAGCTTCCTCGAGATCATGACCCAGCTCTCGACCAACGACTACACGGGAAGCAAGTCGGGCGGCTCGAGCTCGTCGTCGTCGTCGTCGATGACCTCCTTCGCCGACATCCGCCACGCGCAGGCTGGACGCCGCCGGCCCGACGACACGTCAGCGCTGACGTCCAACACCAGCGACGGCATGTCGTCGTCGGCCTCGCTCGGCTCGGGCTCGATCGACGGCTCGAGCATGAACATCCCCATGTTCAAGTACAAGGTCAAGCTCGACGACACGGGCAACCTGGTCGGCCGCTACGGCGCCAACGATGCCATGCTCAGCAGCGACAACATCGCCGTCGCGTTCCTCGACGTCACCTCGGCCCACGTCCTGTGGCAGCGCGCCCCCGAGGAGATGGTGGAGACCATGACCCTCTTCAACAAGCTCGTGCGCGACCTGGCCGCCCGGCACCACGGCTTCGAGACGACGGTGGGCGACCGCGGCAACTCGGAGGGCTCCATGTGCATCCTCTTCACCGAGCCTGAGGCCGCGAGCGTGATGTGCTTCGAGCTGCAGAAGGAGCTGCTGGTGGCACCGTGGCCCGCCAAGCTGCTCGCCGTGCCGCAGGCCGAGGAGGTGGCCGACCCCATCTCGGGCGACGTCGTGTTCCGCGGCCTGCGCGTGCGGTGCGGCATCCACGTGGGCAGCATCTCGGCCAAGCGCAGCAAGGACGCGCGCAAGGCGGGCATCAAGCACAGCGGCCCGGCCATCGAAGCCGCCATGAAGCTGGCCTCGGTGGCCAAGCCCGGCCAGATCGTGATCTCGGCCGTCGTGCGCAACCGCCTGGCCGACCTGGGCCTCATCCAGAAGGGCAAGGGCAACGACGACGACCACGACGACGACAAGAAGAACAAGACGAAGCGGGGGAAGGACAAGAAGATCAAGACCAGCTTCCTTAAGAAGGTGGAGCTGCCGGTGTCGCGCGTGCGCACGTCGGTGTCGTACCAGGCCTCGACGACGGCCGACGGCGAGACGGACACGGAGCAGCGGCGCGAGCGGACCGAGTCGGGCGACGCGCAGGAGATCAAGGCCTACGAGATGCGGGTGCCGGGCCTGTACCGGTACTTTGATCGGGACAACGACGACGAGCGGAGCAGCGACGAGGACGGGTCGTCGTCGACGCTGATGGAGCCGGTGCGCGGGCGCGGGCGCGAGGGGCTCGAGGGCGACGCGGAGACGTGGCTCAACTCGGCCAACATGTGCCCGTGGATCATCGACTACTCGAAGGTGACGGTGTACGAGGACAAGCCGCTCGGGGCGGGGTCGTACGGCGTGGTGTACCGCGGGCGGTGGCAGAACGTGGACGTGGCGGTGAAGCGCTTCATCAAGCAGACGATGAACGAGCGGAGCACGCTCGAGTTCCGGTCGGAGATGAGCATCCTGTCGAACATGCAGCACCCGAACATCATCACCTTCATCGGCGCGTGCGTGGTGGAGCCCAACATGTGCATCATCACCGAGTACATGAAGAACGGCAGCCTGCGCACCATCCTCTCGTCGTCGCTCAAGCTCAGCTTCAACGACCGCATGCGCATGCTCTTCCACACCGCGCAGGGCCTGCAGTACCTGCACGACACCGTGTCGCCGTCGATCATCCACCGCGACCTCAAGTGCTCCAACATCCTCGTCGACGAGGCCGACGGCATCTGGACCGTCAAGATCGCCGACTTTGGCTTCGCCCGCGTCAAGGAGGCCAACACGACCATGACCCGCTGCGGCACCCCGTCCTGGATCGCGCCCGAAATCATCCGCGGCGAGAAGTACACCGAGAAGGCCGACATCTACTCGCTCGGCATCATCATGTGGGAGGTCCTCACCCGCCGCGTGCCCTACGAGGGCCTCAACTTCATGGGCGTCTCGCTCCAGGTGCTCGACAACCAGCGCCCCGAGATCCCCGACAACTGCCCGGCCGAGTTCCGCAAGATCATGACCCGCTGCTGGCACCCCAAGGCCCACAAGCGCCCGGCCATCGGCGAGGTCGTCGGCTTCTTCAAGCAGCTGGTGGGCGTCTCGCCCTTCGACGTGTAACACTAGTACACATCAACCCTACCAGGTTGCTCTCCTCCTAATTTATTGTATCCACGTTCCCTCTTCCTCATGTTGTACTCAAGCACATAAACCAGCTTTCATTCCCACTCGAACTCCCAAACACAACAAACGAAAGGGCGCGAAAAGACAAACCGTCGTCTACGCGTTTCATGCGAGTCGAAAATTTACAAGATCTCTTAACGATTAACACCAATCAGTCGGCCTCCTCAGTGTCCGGCAGCTCGCTGCGCAAGGTTGTTGAAGAGGGTTGGGTGGTGGACGAGGCGGTGGCGAGATTAGAGGCGAAGCCCTGCTGCATGAAGGCACCGAAGAGGCTCATCACCATGTCCACCTGCCGAGAGAAAGATTTGCCGTAGAGGCAGTCGTGCGCGAAGTGCTCGCAGTTGTTCATCATGAGGTTGTACTGCCGCTCGCCCAGTCGCTTCTTCGCCCGCTCCATAATCACATCAGCGTCGAATCGCTTGAGCGGCTCCGGATGTTCGTCATCTCGGTTGTAGATGATGTTCGATTCGGGTGCGCCCTTGAGGAACCCTTGGAGCGTGGTCACCTGCACTTCGCCGTCCATGTTCGATGCGTCGCCGCTGTAGTGAATCACTTCGCGTCGTCCATCGTTGTACTCGAACAGAAGACCATGGTGCCGGTAGTTGAAAGGGAAGCCTTGGAAGTTGATCATGCGCGGGATGCTAATGTGATGCACCGCCTTGACCTGTTGTGATTGCATCTTTATGCCTTGTGTAGTTGATGTTATGCGTTGTCGAACGGGTGCTGAAGAAGAGATGAGTCTCCGCAGCATAGACCTGTATGAATGATGCTCCCATCGCCACCCATCTCTGTCGCCGATCTCCCTTCCCCGAAACTTTCACGTAATCCAGAAGTGTTTCCTAAATTTCAATAGCACTTCTGGGAGTTTCGGAAACACGGAGAAGATGGAAAAAAAGATAAGTAAATAAAAGCTCAAAACCAAAAAAGCACAAGATGGTGGTGGAGAGGGACCCGAGGAATCGAACCTCGGGCCTGCGACGGAAAAGAGAACTTTCTTCGCCGTAATACCACTATACCAGTCCCACTCACACCAAACGCAACAGTCGCGCTTACGCCTGCTTTGCAGGCGCCTGTTGGGCGCCTGGCCCGCAATTGTGGGACACTGGCGGTATTCACCTCACGAATTAGCCTTTATTGCTTGCGCTTGGCGACCAACAGGCTTTGCATGCAAGCCAGCCTCTTCTTCAGCGTCGTCCCTTTCGTTTGTACACAGGGCGGTGCACCGCTTGAGAGTATACTAGTGAAGCTCGGCTAGGGGAGGTAAAGGAGGGTGATGGGTGAGTTCAACCAACACGACACAAGCAGCATCGTGATCGTGATCGTGAGTGCAACTTTGTAGAGGAGGAGCGTGTGTGAGGGAGGAAGAACGCGTACCCTTCTCCTTGCGTTCCTGGTATTGCTGCTGCTGCTTGGCGTTGGGGTAGGCGTACTTGGGCTTCAGCTTGCGCTCGGCCTTCTGCTCGTTGAACTCGTTCACCTCGTACTCCCACCGCTTGGACTTGGCCTGGTCTCGGGCCTGCTCCTTGGTGACCATGTGGATCTGCACACGGTTCTTCTGCACCAACCACCGCAGCAAATCCTTGGCATGAAGCTTGGACTTGATCGCTGCATTGACCGCGATTAGTATCAATGAAGAACGGCATCTGGTGCCGCCAATGTGGCGATAAGATTCTAAGGGCAGCGGAGAATTGGATCAATGGAATTGAGCAAAATCCGGGTGGGGTACGAACTTGTCTGCTCTTCGACGAGATGTTCCCACAGCGCACGACGGTTCATGCGACCATGCTTCCGCAACACCGACACGATCTGCTTAGTGGGCCGCAGCGCCTCCATGCTCGACATCTTGCTTTGAATTTATAAAAAATTAAAAAACAGAAAGAGAAAGCAGCAAGGAAATAAAAAGAAATATTTTTCTTTTTCATTGCTGGTGTGGTCGCTACTGGCCGGAGGGCGTGGGCCTGCGGTAGGCGGCCACATTGGGCGGGGCCGAGATGTCGGGCTTGAGCGTGGGGTCGGCCTCAGGGGTTCCGTATTGGGTGGTGACGGGGATCACGCCCGACCAGAAGTCTGTTGCCAGGTCGGCATCGTCGTCGCTCGGCGGCCCAACCCGCACCTTGGCCGACACTTCCTCCAGATGCAGCTTCACCATCTGCTCGTCGGCGCTTGCGGTCAGCTGGGGCAGAAGGTGCGCATAACATGGCTCGAATTCGTACCTTGGTGCCCTTGATCTCTGCCGGAGTCGGCAGGCGCGCGTTCTCCCAACGATCTGCATTCACCAAGTCCTCGGGTGAGTGTCATCCTACGACGCAGTAGGCTGCGCTGTGTCTGACTGGTGGGTGTGGGAGAGTGTACCAGGGATGATGTGGTTGCTGAGGATTTTCATTGCCTCCACCTTCTCCTCGGGGTCACTGTGTGCGGCGCGGAAAGGAGTGTAGTTGTCAGCAGTCGCACTTGGTGGCATGCTCACGACCCAGGACTGGAAGTGCGCACGTAATCTCCTCCGCCTTGCCGAAGATGACGACAGACCGGTAGTTCATCGAGCTGTGGAACAAGCTCCGCGCGACCACAATGCCGTCCAGCTGCATAAACGACAATCATGCAGCAGAAGGCCTCAGTGAGCGGCAGCAGTACACCGACAATCATGAGAGGCAATAGTGCGCACCAGAGTGACGGTGATGCAAATGGGGTGGCCCTGCGCGATGTGCTTGATCATGTGGCTGGACGACTGTGTTGTTCACACGAATGTAATGTCAGCGCAGCTTCAACACGCGCGCGGAGTTGAGAATTAGCGGAAGTGCTTCACCTTGCCGTGGAGGTAGAGCCACTCGCCTCGTCGGCCGAACCCGGTGGGCAGGACGAAGGGCCGGCCGTCGACGCTGAACCCCACGTGGCACACGAACGCCTCGTCGAGGATGGCATAGACCTGCTCCTTGTCGTACACCGCCCTCTTGGGCAGCCGCTTGACCTGACCAATTGCACTGATAGTTAAAAACGAGGCTCGCTCAATCGAATCTATCGCGCCACACGAAAGTAATGAACCTTGGTCAGGGGCGTGACGTCAAACTTCTCTCCTTCCATGTTGTGGCGTCGTGAAGAATGGCGGCAATGCCGGCGCGCAAGACAATATTTGCCGAGAAAATTGGAGAAATGGTATTTTCCCAGATTATTCCCTGTCAAAAAGAATTTGTTGGTCTTTTTCTGGGCGGATCAACGAACCATCCATCCATTCGATTATTCCTTCGTGGGTGGTTTCCACATTTTCGCACGGCCCACACAATCCACATCCTACCGGACGGATAGACACAACGAGGGGATGGATGAAGAGAGGAAGCCTAACGGCGAGGATCGAATGGACACAGAAGATGCCACACCAGCTGCAGCAAATGGAGCAGAGAAGAAGCAAGGCGAGGGGGAGGCACAGACATCGACCGCCACCCCCGTCAAAATTGGGTTCTCATTTGGAGGATTGGCAGCAGGCAAGAGGAAGGTGAGCATCCAGGGCACGAAGAAGGAAGAAGGGGAAGAGGGGAGGGAGCTTGTGACCGCCATTCAAGGCAGCAAGATGAAGACCCTCTTCGAGAAAGACGACGGCCCGCTCGTCATCCCCTTGCCCCAGCCTCTACGTTCCAAAAAGGCCAAAATCGAAGGTACGATTCACCCCAAGATCTACAATTTCATGCGATTCGTTATTTATTTATTTTTCTTTATGATATCACGATTTTATTTCTTACTACAATCGTTCTCTTGTATTTAATGTAATTAAATTCATAAATTTTGTAGGAGAAGAGAAGCCGACATCGGCACCGGCCGTCGTGGACCCGAAGCTTGCGGGCCTGTCGGCGGAGGACAGGGAAGCGGCCGAAGCGCTGATCAAGGAGGGTAAGGAGGGCATCCAGGTCGAGCCCGAGGAGGAGGACATGCCGCTGCTCCTCAAGTACCGCCTCCCCGGCCTCGACACCATCGAAGACGAAGACGAGAAGTACGCCATTCCTTCCCTCTTGCTCCTCCTGCTGCCTTGCAACTTCTTCTTCTGCGGCCTTGTTCAAGGGCTAACGTTCCACCTTCGCTTTGCGACACGACACGACACGCAACACCAGGTTCCGATTCGATGTGGAGTCGCGGCCGGAGGAGACGACGGCGTCGGCCTATGATCGGGTCCCGGTGGAGAAGTTTGGCGAGGCCATGCTCCGCGGCATGCTCTGGAAGCCCGGCGATCCCATCGGCAACACCAACAAGGCGTACGCATCCATCGTCTTCGTCTCGTCTTCGTCTTATCTCTCCCCCTGACAATGCACACCACTGACAAGCTGCTGGCCCTCTGTGTGCGTGATTGCAGTGTGGTCAAGCCGGTCGAGTTCATTGCGCGCCATCATCGCCTGGGTCTGGGGGCCGCGCCCAAGGCGCCCGAGCCCACGAAAAAGAAGTTCATCAAGCCGGGCGAGAGCCGGGAACCCAAGGTAGGCAAAACCGCTCCTATGTGTCGTGTGTGTCGTGTCGTGCGTGTCGTGTGTCGTGCACGATTTGACGCGCTCGCGTACAAGCTCGCTAATGTGAATAATTTCTTTTTCATTTCTTCTTCTTCTCGCTGCAGCAAATGATGGTGCTGCCGCGGGACAAGGACGGGAGGCAGCGACACGTGCGCGACCTGGACCAGAAGCTGGTGGCCTTCCGGCCGGAGGGGATCCACCCGGGCAACCTCGTGGGCGTCGTCTCGGGCGAGCACGAGGGCATGTACGCGCGCATCGTGCAGCTCCTGGCCGGCGACAAAGTCCGGATTCGATTCGAGAGCGAGGAGGAGGTGACCGTCAACCGAATAGACCTCGCGCCGCTCAACTCGACGCAGCTCAAACAGGGTCACCCGGCTCTCGGCATCCGCGACGGAGGCGACGACGGCGACGTGGAGGAAGAAGGCGCTGAAGATGATGACGACGATGACGATGGTGAAGATGACGATGACCACCACAAGGCGGCGGGAGGTGAGAAAGGCGTCGAGTGGGAGCAGGAGACGACCAACACGATCGACGGCAAGTCGGGCGGCAGCGCCGGCAAGTCGTCGGCCAGGGACGACGCAAAGAGCAGCAGCGGCGGCGGCGGTGGCAGCACAAAGCGAAGGGAGGAGGAGAAGGAAAAGAAAGAGAAGATGAAGCGGGAGGAGAAGAGGAAGGAGCCGGTGTGGCTGCGACCGGGCATCACGGTCCGAATCGTGAGCAAGAGCCTCGGGGAAAAGTACTACCGCAAGAAGGTCAAGGTCGTGGACGTCGTCGCCGGCGACATCTGCACCATCATGCTCGACTCTGGGCGGATTCTTGAAAGTACGCGACTCTCTCTTTCACACACACCACACACATAGCGCGCGCGCGCGCACACACACGCACACACACACACACACAGCACACAACGACACAGGCAAAGCAGATGACTGATTCTTTTATTTCCATCCACGCGATTGTGCAGATATCCGACAGCGGCAAGTGGAGACGGTGATCCCCGACGTGGGCAGGCGGGTGGTGGTCGTGCTGGGCCGCGACCGAGGGAAGGTGGGCAAGCTGCTCCAGAAGAGCACCTCCAAGGAGACCGCCGTCGTCCAGTTCGAGGGCGACTGGGCCGGCGAGGTGGGCACCTACGGCCTCGACGACATCTCCGAATACCGAGGCGAGCACTAGTGCTACAACACGCAACACACCACTCACATATCTTCGTTCCGAATACGCACACGCGATGACGACTCCACCGCGCGCCCTCCGTTGTTTTCAGCGTTGCAATGCAACGTCTATACATAAAAGGGCACGACGGTCTGTGCGATGGGTGCCCGACAGATGATGCACACGTCACCTCGCGCCACCAGAATGCGAGCGCACACCTGCGTGTGGTGTGTGGCAAAAGCGCGCACCGGTCACATAAGAAGAAGTCCAGTCAGTCCCCCACGCCATTTTTTGGCTGTCGTGTGTGCGTGCGGTCCGTACTTTACACGAGACGACGTGGCCGCACGGCACGAAGCACACGCTGCGCTCGGCGTCGCAGCAGATCAGGCACGCGTACGGGTTGTTTTCCTCCGGAGAAGATGACGCGTTCGTGATGGTGGTGCGGAAGGACTGAGACAGGCACGACGGCGGTGGCGGGCGAGATGCGTCCTTGGCTCGCCGCAGGGCCGTGATGTAGGCCCACAGCTGTCGCCGCGGCCCGAGGGGCAGCACCTCGGCGAGGTCGCCCTCCTCCACGAACTCGATGTTGTCGCGCGTTATCTCGTGTTTCGCGAACACGTCCCGGAACCGCTCCAGCTTGAGCGCCACCAGAAGACGGTCGAGGCCGGCTGCCTCACCCACGACGCCGTTGGTTGAATCTGTACCAGACCCGCACCTTTCGTCAGCTCACACGCACACGCATCACCGCACACACGCACACACACGCACACGTACACGCACCACCGCACACATCAAGACCTGGAGAAGGGGAAGGCGAGGAGAGGGGCTCGAGAACGTTAACGCCGAGGTTGGTGAGGGCGATGCGTGCAAGCTGCCGCACGGTGGGCTGGTCGCGGCGCTGCGCCAGCCGCTCCAATGTCGACACCGCGCCTGGCGCCAATCGCAATGCCAACAAAGTTAAGAAAACAACTTTCGCAACCCAACACAAATGGCAGTTGTGATTGGGGTCGGGGTACCTTCGTGGAAGAGTTTGGAGGTCTGCTGGTTGGTCCGGGAGAGGCAGGCGATTAGGAAGCAACCGAGCTCGTTGACCGCCTCGTGCTCGGCCTCGAGCAGATCGACCAGCGGCTTGAGCGTGGTCCACACCAGATTGTGCATCGTGAACCTGGAAAGCCCCAAAAATAAATAAAGAATAAATAATAAAAATGAATAAACGAAAGCCAGAAGGAAAAATGAATAATGAAAATGAAAAACCCAAATTAGAGGCTGGACCGCAACGCACACAAAACCAAATAAAGAGATGGCAAAGCTCAGATACCGTCTGCAGTCGTGTTGCTCGACGAACCGACGTATCTGCTCAAGCCCGCCCGATCGCGCTATCGCGTCTCTATTTAGTGTGTCGAGTAGATTGACGTCACCAAGGTGCGCGAACGCCATTGTTGGTGAGATGAGCCAAGCGATCTAGATGAGAGTTGGTCGCGAGGGAGCAACGAGTCGAACAGGAGGAGATCTTTTCTCGTACTTGTAGATGTCGTCGTCGATGGTCACCGTTGACGCCATGGAGAGGTTGCCGAGGGCCAAGCACGCGTTGAGTTTCTGCTCCTGGCAACTCTCCGAATCCAACCCCATCCCCATCCCCATCCCCGAGATGCCTGTCCCCGCCAGGATGGCGACCAGTGGCTCCAGGCCACCGGCCTCGACTAGTCACGCACCAAGAGATCAAGAGAGCGCGGAAATAGTGAGATCGCCGCCCGGAATGGTACCTTGGGCGCTACTACGCTCCATCTGTACAGATGGGCTCCCAGCAAGCGCGGTGGTAAATTGAGAGAGAGTCGTTACGTACTGATGGGCTTGCGGGCTTCGGGCAGGCTCGAGAGATGCCACAGCGCGCCGGTCGCTGATCGTCTGAAATAGAAGGAGGACAAAGTTGAGAGAGAGAGAGAGAGAGCGCCATTGGCGTCATGGTCTAATGAAGAGGAATCTGAGCGCTACCTGACCGCGGCGGATTCGGCGTGGAGAAGGGCCACGAGATGCGGAGCCGCTCCCTGGGCCAACACTTGGCGCTGGTTGCTCTCCACACCGTAGCACACGCTCCACAGCGCTGACGCTGTGCATGTGCGCGTGCCGTGTGTTGTATGCAGTAAGTTGCGTGTGTGCGTTAGCTCCAGAAGCTGTACATGTGTACGAGCTGTGTGCGGAGAGCATAGTGCACTGTTGGCCACGGGTACCAGCGTAGCGAAGCGTGGGTTCGTAGGTCTCGTGCTTGATGAGTCCCACCAAAGCGGGGACGACGTCAGCCGCCTTCACCGCCCGTCGCACACCATCACAAATCACACGCCGGCCATTAGTGCCCACCGTCACAGGTAGGAGGGAAAGTGCGAGTGGGAACCTTCTGCTTGTTGGTGGGATGTGCAATGCACACACTCCACAGTGTGCCGGCTGCCTCGGCCTGCAGCTTGCTCAACGCCAGCCGCAGCCCGCCTCCTTCTTCTTCCGTTTCTGCTTCGCCTTCATCCATGCTCTCTTCTTCGTCTTCTTCATCCTCGGCCTCGTTTCTGTCTGGCGCGGGGTAGCGCACCATCTCTGGTTCGGCCCTTCGCTCGTTCGGTACTGCCGCTTCCTCTTCATCAAGTGCCTCCACAGCATCGCTCACGATTTCAAGATCGCTCGCGATTCGGGCCTCATCTTCTTCGATGGGCCGAGCTGCAGCCTTGGCAGCTTTGGCCGCAGCGACGGCTGCTAGGAGGCGGGCCAGGGTGGTGAAGGCGCCGGCCTGGCCCATCATAGAACGGACGGCCTGGCTCTCATTGTCCTGCTGCGCCAAGTAGTGCAGCACACGCATTGATTGGTATGCCACCTCGACCCGCCCTCTGTCCAGCACCATCTCACCCTCAGAAATGCCGTTGAACAAAGCCAGGCACCTCCGCACCACATCCGCCACCTCCATCTTGTTGGCTTGGTAAATTTTTTATTCTTTGTTCAAAAAATAATATATCTCTTGGTTTATATTTTGTATTTTAACACAAAGTCAATTGAAAATGGAGCAGAAAGATGGCGAGGGAGCTGCAGCGCACGAGCCGCAGTGCGGCTTTCCGCCAGAGGTGTGGGGGCACTGCTTTTCTCTCCTGGAGGACGTGCGCGATCGTGTTGCAGTTGCAGCGGTACCTTCCCCCCGATGCGTCAATCAATAGAAATCAAAGCAACCAAAGCTGAGCGGGGCTCGTGTGGCCAGGTGTGCTCTGAATGGGCGCAGCTGGCCTGGCGGGAGTGCCGCACTCTGAACCTGGCCCGTTATGCGGAAGCCATCACTGGATCCCCGTCGTGCTTCCTCTTTGGCGAGGTACGTGCGGTATGGGCAGTGCTCCCGCGTGTGCTGTCGAATGAAACAAACCTTCATCGTCGTTCGTCCAAAGGAGGGGCTCCTTCATCGTTGCAAGAAAGTGGAAGAGCTCAACCTGCGTAAGGCGCGCATCGGCAACACTCAAATCGAACGCGTGCTCACCTATTGGCCCACCCTGCGCCGCCTCAACCTGGTACTCGCTCACCGCGGGACCCCTGTGACTATGCTGCACGACGTATTTGGTGGCGCTTCTCACACACCGCCAACACAGAGTTGCATTGTCAGAGTAAACGGAGTCACGCTGGGGTTGATCGGCGCTCACCTGGGCTCGAGGCTCACTCACCTGAGCCTGGAAAGCTGTCGCAAGCTACGAGACTCCAGCTTCGTTGAGGTACTGGCCACGAGCCACACATGTTCTCTTTTGATTTGAATCAAGTTCCTGCTAATGTAGGGCGCGATGCGCTTCAGATGTGTTTGGCGTGCCCCAATATTGAGTCGCTGCACATTCGCGGATGCTTCCTGCTGTCCGACACATCACTTCAAGCGATTGGCCGCTATCTTACACGCCTACGGGTGCGTGACTGCAGTACTGCTTGCCAAAAAAACGGATCGTGTGCACTGACTGGCAACGTTATCACCAACCGACCAAGTGCAGGTGCTCAACATCCAGGGCCTGGACAAGCTGACCGACGCTGGACTCGCCCACCTCGCGGCCAACAACACCGAGTTGCGGGACCTGGACATGCAGTCGTGTTCCGCCGAGATCACAAGGAAGGCCATCAAGAAGCTGGTGCGGCGTGCCTCGGGTCTCCGCAGGCTGATACTCAAGTTCTGCCGTCCGGTCGACGATAGCGTACTGCGCGTGATCGGCGATTCGCTGGGTACGACTCAGAGCCACTCATCGAGAGAGCGATGCGTGTCGTGGACAGTGCACCTCACTCGTTCGCCGCGGCAGGCCCAAGTCTGGAGGTGGTCGAATTTCAGGGCTGTCCGTCGGAGCAAATCACTGATGCCGGCGTGATTCACCTTGGTGCGCTTCTCCTTCATGTATGCTTAATCGTTTCGTGTGCGACTGACCTCTTCCTTCTTCGACATTGCAGTGTCGCGCTGCCACCGACTGCAGAGATTGAATCTGATCGGGCTGAGACAGCTGACCGACGCTACTCTGGCGGCGGTCGCTCAGCACCTCGAGTACGTCGTGGAGCTGGAGATGAAGGAGTGCACCGGCATCACCGACGAGGGCCTCCGGCACCTGGCGCAAGGCGCCAACCACCGCCTCTGCACATTCAACTTTGAGTTCTGCCACGAGATCACCGACGTCGGCATCGCCGAGCTGTGCGCTCTGGCGCGGTCGCGAAAGGAGAAAGCCGGGGGCAGCAGCTACACCCCGGTTCGGATCCTCAACGTCGGCCACCTGCCCCGGCTCACGGGCCGCTCCCTCGCGCTCATCGTACAGGACATCGCCGCCGACCTGCACTCGCTCAACCTGTCCGACTGCGCGCTCATCGACGAAGAATCAGTGCTGGCGGTGCTGCGGGCCTGCTCTCGGCTCAAGGTGATCAATCTCAAGGGCCTCCCGCTGCTCACTGACCGCGTGCTGGAGGACATCCTCGCCCACGACTGCTACGCGTTGGAGAAGCTGCAGGTCGGCGGGCACGACAACAGCTTCACGCGGGACTGTCTCGATTCCTTCGTCCGCCGTAAGCGGCCCGGCGTGGTACTCAACGTCGCCTCACTCCTCGCGCTCCAACACGCAGCAACGTAGAGGAAGAACGAGTAGCACCCTTTGCTAGGAACGCAAATAGCCCTCCTTTGGCGCACATTGGGGACATTTAGTGGTGATGGTCCATACAACGTCATCGGTTAAGGGCGAGCTCGGAGCAAGGGGATCAACCTCACAGCCTCCCCTCGGCAGATCACGAGAACCCGAAGATTCTACATGTCGGGGAATATCTATATAATCTACATGTCGGGTTCTTTGTTGCTGGCGAATGGCTGGGTCGGCAGAACTGTCGGCGCCTCTTCCTTTGTTGGCCACTGAAGCATTTCCTGGTTTTTTCTAACTCCACCCCGCCATGGCGGTGGCTCTTAAAGCACCGCAGCACACCAGCTTAGTACAGACTGCTTGCCAAGTGAACGATGGTGCCACCTTCCTCGTGTGGCTGTGTTTGTGGGGGTAGGGTCGGACACTGAGTGGATCATCTTGCAGAGCCACCCAGAGCAGGCTGCCTCGGTGGTGTCGCGCCTCTTCTTCACGTGGGTGACGCCTCTCCTAAAGCGTACAGCCTTCCACCCCCGCTTCTTTTTATTTTTATTCGACATTCTTCGCATACCAACAGAAGCTGAGTTGCATCTTTGGCAGTGGGTGCGCAGCGTCCGTTGGAGATGGCGGACCTTTTCGGTGTGGCGCCGCAGGACGAACCCGATATCTTTGTGCAGCGATTCAAGGACGAATGGCCGACGCGCATGCAACGCCACGCCGACTGGTGGGCACTCGCTACGTACGCGACTTCCGCCTGTGCTCGCTCGGCCCGAGTACACCAAAGTAGTGACCGGCGCAATAACGCGTCTTTCATTGTTACTCAGTGCGCTGTGGGCCATCGCGTGGAAGGAATGGGCAATGATCACACTGGTGAGTCTGGTCGCGGTGCTCACCAATCTCGCGATTCCGGTCACCTTCTCTTGGCTCATTCTCTTCATCGGCGATGAGGTTTGTTATCACATCCCGCCTTGCTTGACGTGACTGCTCAGTCATCTTGCGGGGCTGTGCAGAAGGCAAGCTGGTCTGAAGGCCTCCTCTACATCGGACTCATCGCCTTGACATCGATCGCACATTTCCTCTCGACCGAGTTTGCCTACTTTCTGGCGCAGCGTGCGCACATTCACGTAACACTCAGCAATGCCTTCAGCCCGCCTTCAATTTTTTGTTATCCCTAACGCTGTGTGTGATTGCAGATAGAGTCCATGCTGGCGCTGATGGTCTACCGGAAGAGCCTGCGCCTGCAGCACGTGTCCAAGGGAAACGCAGCCAACGTCATGAACGTCGACCCCTCCCGGGTACGATATGGCTTTTCCCTACGTTGGAAGTGGTTGTTAGTCACCCTTCACACCGACGGCACCAGGTGGCCAGCATGGCTTGGTTCAGTCGCTTCGTGGTATCAGCGCCTATACAGCTCACCTGTACGCGAACCATCGCTCATTTGCACCGCGACCCACACACTCATGTCCGTCTGTCATGTCTTGACCAGTGGCCATTTATCTGCTTTACGGCTGGCTGGGACCGTCCGCGTTTGTCTCCTTGGCGGTCGTCCTGCTCCTCATGCCGATCAAGTTTCTCATCTTCCAGTACGTGTGGCCTACACAAAGCACATCATGTGGCGTGACGCCCTTATGGCTTCTAAACGCTGCCAGCGATCCGTATCTGCAGAGCATTCAATTCCTATGAAGAAAAGATCATGGAGCACAAAGACGAGCGAGTCAGGCAGCTGACCGAAGCCCTGCAGGTGTGTTTGTTTGCTTGCTGGCTGCTACCGACTGCTGGTTCACTCTTCCAAATTATACCACACCGATAGGGAATGCTGATCGTAAAGCTCTTTTGCTGGGAGTACCACGTGCTGAAGCAAATCAGCGAGGTGCGTGCCAAGGAAGTCTCAGCGCTCAAGAAGTTTTCCTACCTCGTGGCCTTTCTAATTTTCCTGATGTACGTCTGCTCGTGTCCACGCACGCACGCACGCACGCACGCACGAATTGAAAGCCTCTTGACGTCTAACCATTGCGATCATTCAGCGTTTCCACGTCGACCATCATCTCTGTCGGAACGTTTTCCGTGTACACACTACTGGGGAACCAGTTAGTGGCCGCCCGCGTCTTCCCCTCGATATCGCTCTTTTCATCGCTTACCGACACCATCATGCAGGTACACAGTGCCACTATCTATCTTCGCCATCCAGTACCCAGTCTATTCCTGTTCAGGTCTAACCGGCGATGTGTGTTGTGCTGTGAACCCTGTTGCTGTTAGGTGCCGGGCATTCTGTCGCACTGGTCCGAGGCCAAGATCTCACTGGCGCGACTGGACAAGTTCCTGCGGCGAAGAGAGCTCGAGCAGCGCAGCGACGTTACCCACAATTCACAAGAGACGTCCCACAAGCAGGCACTGGATAGCTCATCAGACGCAGCGAATGTGCTCTCGATCGTCGCTGGAGTGTTCGAGTGGGAGGCCCCCGATCACGACGAAGATGATGAAGACGCTGAGACAGAGGAAGGCAAGGCCGAAAAAGCTGCGAAGCCGGCGTCAGCCTTGGGCGAGGCCGATACGGCGCTGCTTCTGGACATGGACGACCAGCCGCTCGAGGAAATGGCCGCCGAGGGGAATCAATCACCGAGCGAACCGTTCAAGCTGCGCGAGATCAACATGGAAGTGCGACGCGGCGAATTGGTTACCGTCATCGGCCGGGTGGGCAGCGGCAAGACGTCGCTACTCAACAGCATGCTGGGGGAGATGAAGCACGTCGCGGGCCACCTCACCCGCAACGCATCGGCCCTTAGCTACGTCAGCCAGCGGTGCGTACTACCCAACAACAGTGAATGGCGTGGGCGCGTCGAGACTCATTCGATACTCGTGTGATAGGCCCTGGATCAGGAATGCTACGGTGAGGGACAACATTGTGTGCGGTCAGCCGTTCGACCGTGAGCTCTACGACGACGTCATCCGCGTGTGCGCGCTCACGGACGACCTGCGCGTCCTGCCTGGTATGCCCGCCCCTGAGTCGTAATTCCTTAGCACGACCAACTACGCTCACTGAGGGATTACAACACCAATCACAGCGGGAGACTCGACGGAGATCGGAGAGAAGGGAGTCAATCTGAGTGGAGGGCAGAAGCAGCGCATCTCGCTTGCCCGAGCGGTCTACATTTCGTGTCTCCAGCACAGCGACGGCCACAATGATGGCTGCGTGATCTTGCTGGACGACGTGCTCTCCGCCGTGGACGCGCACGTTGGCCACCACATGTACGTTTCACATACTACAGGGTTTCATTCACACTTGGTTGTGACTGCTCACATCCTGTCGATCTTCTTCTCCTCTTCATCTCTCAGTTTCCACGAGTGTCTGTTGGGTAAGCTCAGTCAAATCACGCGCGTGCTGGTCACCCACCAGCTGCAGTACCTGCCCTTCGTCGACCGCATCTACGTCATGAACGACGGCACCGTCCAGGCCTCGGGCACCTACCAGCAGGTATGCATTGTTCTCTGTATTTACCTCGGCGTCAAACAAATGCCAAGACCTTGCAACTGACCAACCCTCGGCGCAGCTGCAAGAGCAGGGAGTCGACTTCGTGGGCCTGCTGCAGGCTGAGGCCGAGGAGAAGACCAAGGGCAAAGCAGTCGAGGCGGAGAAGGCGACCGACGATCAAGCACTGGCGGACGATGACGTACTGGAGGGTGGTACTGGCGCTGACGTGGCCGCCGTCGAAACGCGGGTCGAATCAGGGCCACTGGTCGATGATGGTGAGGGAGAAGCGGCGTTGAAGGAGAAGGGCAGGCTGATCGACGAGGAGGAACGCAACACGGGCGAAGTCAAGAGCTCGGTGTACCTGGAGTACATGCGCAGCACCGGAGGACTTGGCTTGCTGTCCCTTCTGGTCCTGTCGTCGCTGCTCTTTCAAGTACGTACCTCTGGGCTACCCCGCTCGGCCCCCAAGGAGCTTTGGCACTCGTGCCACTCAACCCATCTCGGGCGACTGACGTGGTCATGCAGGGAGCGAATCTCTTTGACCAAGTGTGGCTGTCGCGTTGGTCCGACTCGAGTGGCAACACGGTCTTCTATCTGTCGATTTATCTTTCCGTACGTCACACGCACACTCACACTCACACGCACACGCACACGCACACGCACACTCACGCGCACACGCACACGCACACGCACACGCACACGCTCACAGGCGCGCAGCTTGCGTTGAGCGCCGCATTCGTGCTTTTTGCTTGACCCTGATCCCATATCAACGCGCAGTCAGCAGTCCTGGGCGGACTGATGTCGTTAGCCCGACAGACCCTGTGGACCAAGGGAACACTCAACTGCGCGCGGAAGATGCACGATCGGCTTCTGGAAGCCATTCTCCGCGCGCCCATGACATTCTTCTTCACCACGCCCACCGGTACCACACGACGCACTCGACGCACACGACGCACACGACGCAAACACTAACGGTGTAGGGTACCAGGCCGAATCGTGACTCGCTTCTCGAAGGACCAGAGCACGGTGGATCAGGTGGTGCCGGACATGATGTCTGACTTCTTCCTGTGCCTGCTGGCCATCATGGGCATGTTGCTGGTCATCTGCGGCGTGCTCCCTTGGTTCCTGGTCCCCGCGGCGCTCATGTTGGCGCTGTACTGGTGGGTTCTCAAGTACTACCGCAAGACCTCCACTGGTATGCTGCACGCGAACCCGCCCGCACCACCGCACACGCTAATGAATGAGGGTACAGAACTGGGCCGACTGCAATCGCTGTCGAGCTCGCCCATCTACGCACAGTACTCGGAAACGCTGGACGGGCTGGACACCATCCGGGCCTTCCACTGGCAAGGCGCGCTCAAGCGGGAGAACCAGGACCTCGTCGTGGCCAACCAACGCGTCGACTACTGCGTCTTTGCCTCCGACTGGTATGAGCAGCAGATCACCAGTTGGGCTGGATTGGCGCACTCACGCGGTTCGCTGTGTGCCGTGTGTCGTGTTCAAGTTGGCTGGGAGGGCGGATCAGAGCGCTGGGTCTCTTTATCATCATCGGGGTCTCGGTCCTGAGCGTGGTCACCCGGGGCTCGCTCAGCCAAGGACTCGTGGGACTCGTGCTGGCCCTGTCTCAGAGCATCATCGGAGGTACGTAACTCTCGTTCCGCCGTCATCCAAGCCCTGTGTTTACGCACCTGTGCCACATGACACACACACACACACACACACGCACACAACACAGATATGGAATGGTTCGTTCAGAGCGGCGCCATGCTGGAATCGAGCATGAATCAGGTGGAGCGCATCCAATACTACACGGCCACGCCACCCGAAGCGCCCCTCTCGCTCGCCCCGGGCCAGACCTGGGACGCCGCCCACAAGTGCATCGTACAGCGCGTGCTGGCCGAGCTCGCCGGCTACGACGAAGACGACGGCGACCGCGACGACCGCGAGTGGCCCAGCGAGGGGCGCATCGAGTTCAATAACGTGTGGCTGCGCTACCGGGACGACTTGGGCCATGTGCTGCAGGGCATCAGCCTCACCATCGACGCGCGCCACAAGGTGGGCGTGGTGGGCCGCACCGGGGCGGGCAAGTCGTCGCTCATCAACGCCCTGTTCCGCCTGGTGGAGCTCGACAGCGGAACGATCACCATCGACGGCCGCGACATCAGCAGGCTCGGGCTTCATCAGGCATGTCCCACATTCCTCTTCTCTCTTCATTTAAGGTGGTCGGCTGACGTCAGCGCTCCGTTGATGTCGGACCGACCACACAGCTGCGCTCGGCGTTGGCCATCATTCCGCAGGACCCGGTCCTGTTCTCGGGCACCATTCGGTCCAACCTGGACCCCTTTGGCGTGCACGCCGCCGAGCAGGGCGACGCGGCGCTGTGGGACGCCCTCGAGAAGGTGCGCCTGAGCGAATTCGTGCACGGCCTGCCGCTCGGCCTCGAGGCCAAGGTACGCCCGCCGCACGCGTGTCATGTGTGCGTTCTGGCAGAAGGTTGATTGATGTGTGTGTCGTGTGTGTCGTGTGTGCGTCGTGTTGCAGGTGGAGACCAACGGACAGAACCTGTCGGTGGGACAGAGGCAGCTGGTGTGCATGGCCCGCGCGCTGCTGCGCGACTGTCGGGTGCTTATCTTGGACGAGGCCACGGCGAGCGTGGACAACAAGACCGACAGGGCCATTCAAGAGACGCTGCGACACGAATTCGGCGGGCGCACGGTGGTGGTCATCGCGCATCGACTGCACACGGTCATCGACATGGACTGCATCATTGTATGTACACGACACACGACACACGACACACGACACACGACACACGACACACGACACACGACACACGACACACGACACACGACACACGACACACGACACACGACACACACGACCAACGACACACGACACAACACGACACACTGACATGTCTGCCGGTTGTGTTTCAGGTGATGGATGAGGGCCGAGTGCTGCAGTACGGGCCGCCCGGGGACCTACTGGCCACCGAGGGACCGTTCGCCCGCTTGGTCGACCAGACCGGGGCCGTGTCCGCCCAGTACCTGCGCTCAATGGCTCGGCGAGCGCCCAACTCGGATGTTGAGAGCTCAGTTCTTTTTTAGGACAGCTTTGTTTGTGAATGTACATACATATCCACATCAGGACACACGCCCGGGCCCTTCTGGTTGGATGTTTTTGAGCTGTTCGGGCACCTCCTCCGGCCGTACGGTACTGATATTGCGGTCCTTGTCCACTCGCCTGCGGCGCACATGACCTTTGTTAGCGTTTTGCAGTGGTCTGATCGGGTGTGTGTGTGCAAGGGCCTGTCCGTGTACCTGTAGCACAGCATGAACGCTGAGCTGTCCCCATACTTACGCATCGCGGAGCTGTTGGCAAGGTGCATCGAAGAGCCCTGGTCCTCAACGACCTCAGTAACGGTCATGTCGCTGAACGCATACCTGGTGAATCAAGCCGTCCGTCAAGGATGAGCAAGATGACAAAACACGCACGCACACGCACACGCACACGCACACGCACACGCACACGCACGAACGAGTTACGATCGTACCATTTTTCCTTCTCAAAGGATTTGGTGTAATTGAAGTGGTGGCCACTCGCGGCCGAGCCGAGGTGGACCAGCACCGAGTAGAGCTCGTAGGTGTGGCATGCCGGTTGGCTCACCCCCGAGCCCGATGTCGACCCGTCGTCCACATAGCCGCCAAGATCGATGATGTGCGGGAACTCAACGACGTGGTTGAGCTTGACCGTGGCGCCGGCCTGCCAATCGTACTGGAAGCGGTCGAGGTGTAGCCACAGAATATAGGGCAGCTCCGTGATCTTGAGCCCTTTGCGGGCATCGACCTGGGTTGAATCAACAACAGTCGGTTAGAGCGCCATCAATCGCGCGCTGGCTTTTGGCAAAAGAACGAACAAACCAGTGATTCGCAGCCAGCACATTGCCAACGATTGTCGTCGCAGAGTTTCTCGGGGGCCACAAGCTGGTCGAGCGCTTCGGCCAGACTGTTGACATGTCGGACATCGAGCATCATGTCCAGACAGTCCTCTTGGTACGTGCGCTGATGAGCAGCACATAAACCGATCAGCCAACGTAGTCGTTTTTTTCTTCTGGCGGGCGGGTGGAGAGCACCTCAAAGCCACACGCCAAGCACTGCACATAGTTCAACAGTCGCCACTGGAACAGCTCCTGTAGCATTCGCTCTGAACTCTGAAGTGAGTTCAGTTGACTCATCAAGCCCAAGGAGGGTCTTTCAGATGACAGAAACCAACCTTGTGGCGTGCCCGCGAAGCGTTCTGCGAGGAGATCGAAGGCGGCCAGGCAGAGCGCTCGCAAGTTGTGCTGCAGCGCGTACAGCTGATCTGGACCCCCGGCGCAGGAGGGGTCCCTGAAGCTCTGGTTCAGCGCTCGCGTGGGCACGGCTGCGGAGCCCAGGCCGAACTGGAGCCGCGCAAAGAGCCGCTGCAGCTGCAGAGGCCAACAGTCGGCCTGCTCGGCGGCAGTGAGCTGGCCGGCGTCCCAGTGGTAGAGGCTGCGCCGGAACTCGGGGGTCATGAAGAGTGTCTGCGCCAGACAGTTGAGGGGGTCGGTGGTGCCCAGGTTGACAAGCCCGCGATAGTCAGCGCCGCCAGACAAGTAGGTGACTTTAGGTTGCTTGCTGGTGACCTCTTCACGTGGCCTGCCTTCCTTCTCCATATTTCTTCGGACTGGCCGCCATTCACTGAATGTTGTTTTCTTTGTTGGCGTTCTGTGATGATGCTTCAAATTCCTGCTTTAACGCCGTTCGCAAGCACGCGCAGGTGAAATATTTAAGATATTTCTATTAGTGGCAAATATTAGACACTGTCTTCGTTGAGTTCGGCCAACACGCTCTTGAGCTCTTCGAGGAGCTCGTCGCCAGCCCTGTCGCTCTCCAGCTGCTTCTCGATCGCGGCGAGGTTCGCCGACACGAATGTGTGCAGCACGGCTAGACCGCTCAGGCGCGCCTTCTGCGGCACCTCGCTCTCGGTGGGCTTGCCCTTGTCGGCGCCGGAGATGATCGCCTCGTAGAACCGCTCCAGGCTGGGCTTGTTGGTGACGATGAAACTGTTGAGCTGCTCCATGTAGGCCTCCTTGGCGCCCGGCAGTGTATCGTTGGCCAGGTTTTGCAACACCTTCGACACCAGGATCAGCTGCCTCTGCGCCACCTGTTTGATGAAAGAACAAAAAGAGTCAGAGGCCACAAAAAGCGAAAGCGAAGGAAGAATGAAGGAAGGGAAAAGAACGAAGGCGGATGAGGGCGTGTGTGGGATGGTACCGGGTGGGGAGGGCCGTCGAGCAGGCCGAACACTTGGGGCGCCATGAGGGCAGGGCACACCATGCGAAGGAACAGGAAGCCGCCGATGGCCCGGAACTGGGCCTGTTGCGCCGATGGTCCGAACTTGGCGCCGACCTCGGCGTCGATGTGGCGCATGAGCTGCTTGATCTGGATCGGCATCATCTTCTCGCTGTCGACGATGCACTTGTAGAGCTTCTGTGCCACGAGCCACAGCTCGAGGCTGTTGATGGTGGCGTCGGCCGCATCGCCCATCTTGTGCGGATCGATCTCCATCGACGACACGCGGAACACGTCCATGGGCGTGTGGCCATTCTGCAAGTCATCGTCGTCTGCTTCCACCATGTACCGCGCCCGCTTGCTCGACGACGTGTTTCCATCTGTGTGTTTTGTAGTGTGTCATGTGTGTCGCGTGTCGTGAGTGTTGTGTGTCATTTCTTCCAGTCACGCAGAAGAAAGTGCTGCCAGCACCGAGAGATGGCGTACCCTCATCTCCGAATGAATCCACAGCGTTGTCGTTGATGGAGTTGACCGAGGTAACGAGCATGAACCAGGTGAACGGCATGGCGATCATGCGCACGTAGGAGCTGAACAGCTTGGCCGCCAGGCTGTTGGCCCGGAACAGGGTGCCTTCGTCCGACGCCATCGCGACCTCCTTGGAGATCTGGCGCTCGATGAGCTCGTAGCCTCGCTGCTGGAACTCGTAGACGCGCATCAGCGCCTTCGATACCTGAGTAGAGACATGAAATGATGAGCAACGCCACACACAATTCGCACGTCATTGCACACAGCACACTGTTTACCTTGTCGGCATCGGTGGAGGAAGCGATTTCGAAGATGGCGGTGGCGAGGCGGCCATCTTCGACGAACATGAGGCGCTCCAGCTGAGAGTAGTACTGTAGTCGACCGAGAGAAGAAGCTCGGTCGTGTAAGCGCTCATTGCAATCAAGTTTGAGCTGCAGCCAACGCTTGTATGCGCACATACCTCCTGCATCTTCCTGGTCATCACCACATCATCGACATCCGCGTAGGCCAGCTCCTCGTAGTCGGGCTGGCTGAGCTTCTTCTGGCGGTTGCTCTTCCGCTTGAGGGCGACAATGAAGAGCAGAGCCAGCAGGAGCAGCAAGAACACGCACAGGCCGCTCACACCGCCAACCACTCCTCCGATGATCGCACCCGTGTCCGCTCCGCTACGAGCAACACGACACGACACGACACGACACGACACACACGCACGACACACGACATACGCACGACACAGGGTATTGGCACACTGTACTTCGAGGGAGTGCGGCTACGGCGAGCAGTGCCTACCTGGAATCGGCGGAGGGAGATGGTGCCGCGGCCACGATGGTGACCAGGAATTCGTCGCTCGTGACGTAGGAGACGGCATTGCTGATCACGCAGCGGTAGGTCTGATTGTTGAATTCCTCCGTCCCGTTGACCAGCAGCGCATTTTGAGTCGCACCCTCAATGTTGTACCACGCCTTACGCACCATCAAACAAATGGGTTAGCGACGAGACAGCGCGCTAGTGCGCGCGCGCTTTGTTACCGGTTGCAGAGTGGCGTTGCCGGCGCGAGGAATCAGGTCGCTATGCCCGACATGGTCAAAATCGTCTTGCCATCGGGCGTCGAGGGGAGTGCCGCTCGTGTCGTCCAGAGTGTCGTTGGTGGTGGAGTTGGTCAGCTCCATCACCATGTACTGCCACTGGTAATTTGGCGTAGGCAACGACGATGCCACGACGGTGATGGCGAAATTGATCGAGCCGCTCGGCACGCTGACCAGCGGACCGACCGACTGGAAGCTGATCACTGGCCTGCCGGGCACCGCCTTGGCATTGACGCTCACGCTCGAGACCAGCTCGCCGTCATCCACGCACAGCGTCAACTGTTGAGACACCACAGCGCGGGTCAGGCCAAATGGAAATGTGAAGAATCACAACCAACCAAAGAGAATGTTTGTTCTTCGCACCTGGAACGAACCGAGGGCGTTGGTAGTGAGCGTGGCCGTCTGGGCCAAGGGCTCTAAGAAGGTTCCGATCGAGCACGTGCTGCTCAGGAGGCTCCACTGGTAGGTCAGCTGCGAGCCGGGATCGCCGGAGTAGGCCTGCCGCTGGTCGGTACCCGCGCCAGCCACTTCGATCGTCGACGGCGCCGGGACGGACAATTCCGTAATGTTGCCTGGAGCGTCGCGACGAAGGGGGAAAGAGAGTGGTCAGCCGATGATGGAATTCGTCACAGGAAGGCCTGCCAACGAGAGGAGTCAAAACCAATAGAAGCGATGGGGAGGTCGTTGCTGGCGGACGCGGTGTAGAGGAGCTGCAGCTCCTGCGCGCTCAGTGCGTGATCGTAAAACTTGAGCTCGTCCACCCACCCGCGCATATTACCAGCGCTGCTCCGTGACACGTACATGATTTCCGTGTTTGGGGTGATCTGTGCAGCAGCGGCTGTGGAGGACATAGTTTGGTAAGCCTGGCGTGTGTGTGTGGTGCGTGCGTGCGTGCGTGCGTGCGTGCGTGCGTGCGTGCGTGCGTGCGTGCGTGCGTGCGTGCGTGCGTGCGTGCGTGCGTGCGTGCGTTGGAGTGGGCTAGTAGATAGACGCACCTGCTGCGCAATCAGCAACAGTGCCGTTGCTCGTGACGCACACGTGGGTGGTGTTGTAGATGCATGCGATGTGATTCCAGTAGATTGTGTCTTGGTTGTAGAAGTTGTAAGCGGTGGTGGCTGAGGTCACCACAGATGTCGTGAACACGACCTTGCATAGCAGCTGATCGAGAGAAGTGAGGTGAGTGTGTGTGTTGATATATAAGTATGTGTGCAACATTGTCAGGCAAAAGAACGCAGGCCGGTTCAGTGGTACCCTATACTTCCAACTGGTGCTGGAGCTCGCAGCAAGCTGCAGACGCAAGCTGCCGCCTTTGTGGAGCACAATTCGTTCCTTTTGAGAGGGGGTGCTCATGTTGAACTTGACCCACACCGACACGGACCACTGTGATGTGTTGAGCCCCGGGAACATGTCCAAGTTGGGCAACTCTGCACACCCACCCAGCACTCTTTCAGACACGACACACGGGACACGCACGACACACGACACCAACTGGCAGTTGCGAGGCAAGAAGTACGCAGCATAGAGGTCGATGTTGGTAGAGCCAGGCTCCCATTGAATCTGCCTTCGTCGCTCGAGAATGAAGCCGGCCCAATTGGTTCTCCGCCTGCACGGAGGAGCGGCAAGAACGAAAGCGACAAAAGAGGAGATCAAAATCGGTGAGTGCGTTTTCTGTTGTGGAGTTGTGCAACTCCGGAACGCGCGAGGAGACCGGAGCCGCACTTGGTACTGTGTTGCCGCAGTAGCCGGTGGCGCCGCTGTAGGTGGTGTCTGTGAAAGATGAAGATGTATTTGATTGTTGAGTTCAGAAGAAAACAATGGGTCGTGCAGCTTCACAGTCCCAGTAATTACCAGTACCAATACTCAAGAGAACACAAAGAGAAAGAGAGGAGGAAAGATGACGAACCATCGAAGTTGTAGTAGGCTACGAGCTTGGCTTGTGCACAAGGTGCAGTGAAGAAGTTGAGGCAGAACGAAAGCGATAAAAGTACGAAGAAAGAAAAGAGAGAGCCGTTGCGTATCATTGTCAGTGTGATCGCGCAAGGCTTGCACCAGCCCCGACGAGGAATGTGAAAGTATGGCGAGTTAGATCGGCCCAATAGAAACGCATGGAAGGGAAACAAGCTCTTTGGAATTCTAAGAATGTCGGTGGGCTGTTGGTGAACTGAAAACGGAGAATAAATGATAATTATAAAAGCGTGTTGGGCACTCTTGAAGCACCCTCAGTGAAAGGGCTTATTCCTCCCAAGAAGGACCAAAGTGCGGCGTGGCACTCTGGGCTGCTGTACGCATACCAGATTGTGGCGGAAATGCTGCTCATTGATGTAGCGATTGGGCTGGGGTTTTGCTGGCTGTGCGTCATACTTCTCAACCAGGTAAAGAGCAGCCCCCTTTCATGATTTATTGCCACACCCCACCATTCTTGTTGTGTAATCTTTATCAATGATTTTATTTTTACTTGAGGATGAGGAAAAAGTGCTGACGTGTCGTTCGTGTTGCGTGCGCCCTCGGCCGGCGCACAGTGCCTCTCGCCCAAGCGGTCGCTGCTGGTGAACATTCCCGGCCCGCCGCCCCTGCCCGTCGTTGGAAACGTGCTGGAAATGATGGGCGACCCTCTCGTCGCCTTCGCCCAGTACCGCAAGACGTATGGACCCATTTTCAAGTACTACTACTTCACCGGTACGTCACCCGTGGCTGCGTTCGTCTTCTTTCTGATTTATTTCTCTCTCTCTCTCTTTTTTTTTTAAAAAAATGTATTCATATTTCATTCGCTGGTGGTGTGGTGTGGTGTGGTTGGTGGTGGTGGCAGACCCTGTGGTGGTGATCTCCGACCCGGCGTTCGTGAAGACGGTGCTGAACACGAACAGCAGCCACTTTGACAAGGATCGCGATCCGGTCATCACCGCCGTCATCGGCCACGGCCTGCTGCTGGCCAACGGCGAGCCCTGGAAGCGGCAGCGCAAGATCATGGTTCGTCCACTCTTCGCACATGCCGGCTCTTTTCTGCAGCTCACCATACATTCGACACGCACACGCACACGCACACGCACACGCACACGCACACGCACACGCACACGCACACGCACACAACACACACACGATACACACACCACTTAAAATGCGCACATCAGAATCCGAGCTTTGGTAACACGTACCTAAAGCGGATGGTGCCTTGCTTCGTCGAAGTGACCCGCACGCTGCTCAACATTTGGAAGGAACTGCCGCCCGAGCCCATTAACCTGCACATCTACATGACCAAGGTCACACTCGACGTTATTGGTACCTATCCACACGCTCCTTTTTGCGCACCGCACACGACACACGACACACAACGACGCGCACGCGCACGCACACACGCACACACGCACAACTGCTGACAAAGCGGGGGTATGGTAGGGATCTCGGGCTTCGGCTATGCGTTCAATTCGCTGCAGGACAGCCAGGGGCTGCTCCCAACGGCGGTGTCCACGATCCTGCTGCAGACCGAAGAGCGAATCTTCCAGACCGCGTCGTGGTGGAAAATTCCCTTCCTCCCGTCTTCGAGGCGCTTCAGTACCCTCTCCACCCCCCCCCCCGGTGTTGATGCTGCCGGCCCATGTTTAGTTTATAAACTAAAAATTATAATTCTTTATGTTTTGTGGACACCGCGGTGCAGATCACGCCAAGGCAGTGCTTCTGGGCGAGATCCGAGCTATGATCAAGATGCGCAAGGAGAGTGATGAGGACCTCCAAAACGCCAAGGATCTCTTAGGCCGGCTGCTTGCTGCCGAAGGTTCGCGCATCACACCACGCTGCGTGGCAAGTGCACACGGCACCACAACGTATCTGCTTACGCACACAACACCTCTCTGCAACCCACCAGACCCGGACACGCACGAAAGGCTCGACGAGAACCAATTGGCGGACGAACTCATCACCTTCCTCATTGCCGGCCATGGTACTGATTGCTTCACCTCCGCACCGCTTCAACCATGACTGACTCGGCAACGACTATTCAGAAACGACGGCCGCTTCGCTGGCGTTCACCTGTTATCTTCTGTCCCAACACCCCGACGTCGAACAGAAAGTCATCGACGAGGTTTGCGACCACCCGCTCAAAACTTTACATATATTTAGAAATTTATTCCCATTTTTTTCTATATATGTTTCTATAAAAACCCACATAAGTAGCGATGTGAGACTGACAGTTTGGCACCACCAGATCGATGAGATCATTGGCACGGGCGAGCCGACCTACGATGACATCCAGAAGCTCAAGTACCTTCCCATGGTCATGAAGGAAAGCATGCGGTGCGGTCCTCCAACCACTTCTCTTCATACTCGTTCGTTCGCCCTTTGATCTCATCGGCTCATTTTTTTAATGATTGTTTCCACGCGCGGGCCGAGCGCAGACTCTTCCCGTCCGTGTCCATGCAAACGACGCGCATCACCAACCAGGACACTTCGCTCGAGAAGGATGGCCTGGTCTACCACTTGCCCAAAGGGGTACGCGGCCATTTCGTTTCGTGGTTCGTGTCGTGGTTGCACTTGGCCTGGTCCCCTCCCCTCTAACCAGGCGCCCTTGCGTAGACCTATGTCGAGGTGTGGCCGTGGCTGCTGCACCGAGCTGACGATCTGTGGGACGACCCGCTCACCTTCAACCCCGAGAGATTCGCTTCCGGCAGCTTCAGTTACAAGTAAGGACACACGCGCGCGCGCGCGCGCACACACACACACACACACACAACACACACACGACACATACGATACACGAGAGCCAACACTGTTCTTCTGCGCAGATACACGCCTTTCGGTGAAGGGCCGAGGAACTGCATCGGCCAAAATTTGGCGTTGATGGAGTCCAAGGTCGTCTTGGTCATGATCTATCAGCACTACAGGTAGGGCGCCCTCCTTCTCCTCTTCCGTTTGTTGGGCGACAAAGTCTGTGGTTGATTGTCGGTCGGTGTCCAGGCTGCGACTGGGACCGGGTGCCGAGATGAAGCCACAGCTCAGCATCACGCTCCGGCCAGCGGGTCTTCTGATGCAGCTCATCCCGCGTCGGCCCGACGAAAAGAAGAAGTGCTTCAAGCTCCTCTGAGCAGTGGCTCGCCTCCCCTGCTCGAGCAGCAGCGTGTGCGAAGGGGTTCGCTGTGCGCAGGTACTGGATGTAGGAAAGAAAAGAAAATGGTAAGGGAAAAACATCTCAATTCCAGGAATTTAACCTTGGTGGAAGATGGAAAGCAAGCCAAGCAGATTACTCAGAGTATGTTTGGCTTCGCTCTGAACCTCTGAACCTTGCCCTTGATCTCCGGCAGCGATGCTTGCCAGAGCCCTTTTTTTAAGTGTCCATTTCAATATAAATTGTAATTAATCACCGGAAATGGTTGCTAGCTGGGGGTGCAGTACGGACTCGGCGTGGGTGTGGGGTACTGCTTTGGCTACATGCTCGCCGACACCTTCCCATATGGGGCATACCGCGTTGAGGTACCCGCCAACCGCACCACTCACTTCTCCCTCGTGTCGACTCCAATGACCACCAAAACGACACACCCACACTCAGGGCGAGTCGATGTACCCCACTCTGGAGAAGAACGACTGGGTGCTGACCAGCAGCCGAAGGAACGGCCTTCACCGGGGCGACGTCGTTGTTCTCCGGTACTTTTGTGTCGCGTGTGTCGTGTGTTGTGTCCTGTGCGTGTGTCGTGTGCATCAAGACTCATTGCGGGTGGTACTGGGCGACGCGCGACCGTCGATGGTCGTGAGCGGGCTCAAGGTCGGTGAAGGAGCCCAAGGAGCGGATGATCAAGCGAGTGACCGGCCTGCCCGACGATCTCATCCACACCGACGACGCCAAGCTGGTGCGGGTGCCCCGCGGCTACTGCTGGATCGAGGGCGACAACGCCAGCGTGAGCCTCGACAGCAACGTCTTTGGCGCCGTACGTGCCCACTGTATCTTCACGGCGATGGTAATGGTGATGTGCATCGTATTGACTCTGGCGCCACAACAACCACGCACAGGTGCCTGTTGGGTTGGTGGAAAGCCGAGCGCTGTATCGGCTAGACAGGGGTTGGCGACTGCACAAGCTGGAGAGCGTACCACGAGAACGACTCCAGCGCACCAAGAAGGAGAGAGAAGTGCGATGAGGCGCACGACCACAGTTCTCTGTTGTGCGATGTTGAAGTTTGGATGCGCATATTGGTTGAAAGGAACTTGGCGAAAGGGCATCAGCGGGGAATGTAAGACCTTCTTCTCGAAGTAGGTAGTTCCGGAGGGTGGCAATGAGGCGGTTTCGGTCGGTGCCGTCGGCCTTGGGCTCAAGCAGGTAAACAGAGTCCTCGGCCTACCAGGCACCGGCGGCCCACCACGTCCAGCCGTCCACACGTCCGCTAAATAAGGGGCATGCACGCTTCATTTTGCTAGTTTCGTTTCGCCTGCCTGGGGTAATTGGCGTAAGTTAAAATGACCCATGTTAGCGGTCTGACGGAAAGCACCATGTGCAAGCTACGGCTTACGTGCTGTGTTGCTTTTTAGCTCGTCCAACCCGCTTTGGAAATATTTGGAACATTTACAGCTAAACTAATGAATCATTTTTTAAATTTTATGGGGGGCATACTCCATGATCAGCGGAGAAAAAGCACGCAGAACGAACGGCCTCTGGGTGCCATGTGCGCGTCGCTGCTTGGTCTTCTTCTTCTACCAAACCTGAACCTTGTTAACACCTTTCAGCCTCAACTTCATTGACCTCAACGCTTGAGGGCTTGACGAAGATGATGACCGCACACACCAGAAGGACGCCGCACCATCAGCCCAACAACCTCGCGTCGATGGTACCCGTGAACGAGCAGGAGCTCTCGTCCAACAACCTCCGCCACCGGTACGAGGCTTCTGCTACATCAACAAAGCTCGAGGTGTGAGGCACCTGGAGAAGACGTCTGACTTCTCTTGTTTTCTTTTTGATTAGAATGATGGATGAGTTCTTGGAGCTGCTCGAGATGATGCAGGATGAGCTGCAGGAGTGGAAGAGCATGCCCGACTCACCCGCTTCCTCGCTTCCGCCCGGCCCAAGAAGCGGCCGCCCTTGCATGTCTCTTCTTCCGGGCGTCAAGTGTGGTGACAAGGTGGTCGAGCTCTCCGGGGTGAGGAAGCGTAAGAGTGCCGCCCCACGTGAGCTGCGAGCCGGCCCAGGCCTAGAGCGAGAAGCGATGGGGCCGACGGCGAAGCGACCGCGCCGCGAAGGCAGTGCAGAAGCAGAGAAGAAGGAGGAAGGCCAGCGGCAGAGCGTCCCAAGGCCTGACTTCCCCTCAGTGTGATTAATTGTTTTATTTATTTACTATTTATCGAATAGTTTGTTAATATTTTATCATTGGTGCTTGCTGACGCACGTGCAGACTTTGATTACCGTGATCAAAACCGACCACTTTAAATTTCGTGGCCAAACGTTGGAGATGCCACGTGCGAGCGTGAAGATCGTGTGGATGACGTTATCTGATGAACTGTTGGTTGATCAGGTGAAGGTGTCGGTCACGTAACGTGATCAACGCAAGAAGGCGCCGACGGTTTCGTCGTCTTCGCCTGCTTGCTCTTGTTGGCGCAGCCACTGGGGGTCGTGGCATCGATCGAGCAGCTGGGCGATCGCCACACGCCTTTGCTTCATCGAGTCACGCCACCGCAGCGTCACAGTCTGATGCATTCACACCACGCACGCATGGAGGAGACGCAGATGATGATGGATCAGAAACAACATATGTATGTGTGCACCACCGGATCACAGCACATGTCATCAAAGTAGATTTTCCGGTACGGTACCTTGTCCTGGAGGGTATCGAAGTCGATGGTGATGCAGAAGGGCGTGCCGATTTCGTCCTGCCTTCGATACCGCTTGCCTGTGTGCGTGTGTGACGGTGACGTCAGCAGTGGCACTTGCAAGGAAAGAGGCCCAACTGGCCAGTGTTGCAAGCTAGCTCACGGGGGTCGTGCAGTACCGATCGTGGCCGTGTCATCGTAGTCGGTTGCCGCCTTGGTCACAAGTGCATCGTACACATCTTTCGCCGCCGAGGCCAATTGCTCCTGGAGTGCATGTGCGTGCGTGCGTGCGATTAGATTTATGATTTCGGCGAAGGGAATAGCGAAAGCGCTGGCGCACCTTCTTCATCAGCGGAAGGACGGCGAACTTGTACGGAGCCAAGTCCTCGTGCAGCCGCAGCACCACGCGTGTGTCGCCTTCGGCCTCGCCCGGCTTGGCCTTGTCCTTGGCCGTGGGCACGTTGGTCTCCTCGTCGTAGGCATCCGTGAGGAAGGCCAGCAATATTCTGTCCAACCCGACCGCGGGCTCGATCACGTAGGGCATCGTCACCTTGCCCGTCACTATGTCCTGTGTGTGCGTGTGCGCGTGCGCGTGTGCGTGTGTGAGACTGTGTACGCGCGCTGCATAGACGCCACAAGTCTCCATAAAGTGGCACCTTGTGCCGAAGATCCTTCTGCGAGTGCTTCATGTGCTGCTGGAGATCAAAATCGCCTCGGTTGGCGATACCCCAGATCTCGCCTTCACAACCACGAGCGTCGGAGTTAAAAAAAGGCTGGGGAGCGGAGCGGGCACGAGTAAGGGAGCAACGCACCCCAGCCGAACGGGAAACGGTACTCGATGTCGGTCGTGGCTTTGGCATAGTGCGCCAGTTCCTTGGGGTCGTGCTGGCGCAGGTGGAGGTTCTCGGGCTTGATGCCGTACTTGAGCAGCCACGCGTGGCAATAGTCGACCCAGTACCCGAACCACTGGTCGGCCTCGGCCGGGTCGCAGAAGTACTCGAGCTCCATCTGCTCGAACTCCCTCTGGCGGAAGAGGAAGTTGCCGGGCGACACTTCATTCCTGAACGACTTACCAAACTGGCCAATTCCTACACGACACACGACGCACACGCGACATACACGCGACACAGGTGACACACGCGACACACGACGTCAGAGGTGGATGTGGGCGGGCGCACAAAATGCGGGCGGAGAGTACCGAACGGAAGGCGCCTCCGCATTGAGTTGTAGACCTGCTGGAAATTGACAAAGATGCCCTGGGCTGTTTCCGGCCGCAGGTAGACGTCGTTCCCGACCGTGGTGGCGCCCACGCTCGTCTTGAACATCAGATTGAACGCTCGCACATCTGTGCACAGCCCGAGCGTCAGAAGAAGAGGCAATGTGAGCCACCATAGATAGGTGATGCTGCTGACGGTGCGAACCGGTGTAGGTGCATGGCTTGGCCTTCTGGGTGCACTGCGAGGGTTTGAGGTCGCGCTCCTTGATTGTATGCTCGAGCTGCGTAGCGGAGAGCGTCCCCGCTCCCTCGACTCCGTGCTCCTCCACGAGCTTGTCCGCTCTGCACACAATGTGCCAGATTGAGACCGCGCGCACAACACCCACGACCCACGACCTACAGCAAACGACACACGACACACTTACCGGAAGCGCTGGTGGCAGACCTTGCACTCGACCAGCAGGTCGTGGAAGTTCTCGATGTGGCCTGCCGCTTTCCACACTGAACGTCGTTGTCAGAGCCGTTCTGCGTTCTGGGCGCATGAGCTGAATCGGAGAGATGGGCCACATACCTTCGGTGTTGATGATGATGGGCGTGTCGATGCCCACGCAGTCCTTACGATGCTGCACGAAGTCCCGCCACCACAGGTCTCGAATGTTCTTCTTCAGCTGCGCGCCTGCACGCTCATCACTCAATTAATTATTATTATTGATTTATTATTGTAAATAGAAATGATTAAATAAAATATAAATGGCGGAGGGTGGTACCGAGCGGTCCAAAATCGAATGAACCAGTGAGGCCGCCGTAGATCTCTGAGTTGGGGAAAACGAAACCTCGTCGCTTGCACAGCGATACAACACGCTCCTGCAATGAAGGAGTTGAAGCCGTGGACAAGTGCAGAATGCAAGCGCCGGTCTGGCGTCGATTCGTGTGTCGGAGGAATGACATGAGCGGCAAAGGCGACGAGGAACGTGGGCTCAGGCGCCGCATATTGCTCTTGATCCAATCCTGCTGATCTTGGCCGATTATCTTTTTTCGGATCAATTTTTTGCCGCTAGAGGAAAAGAAGAGAAAAAAATTTCCTGGAGCCCAACGGCTTGTCGGCAAAAAGGTGGTTTTTTCAGATTTTTTTTTGGATCATCAGGTGCGGGCCTCGCGGAATCTAGATTCGAAATTCGAAATCGCACATAGAGCAGATAGATAGGCCTATACCTTCACAGAGAACGAGAAGAATTGATGAAGCGAAACCAGGCTGCGCGGTCCGGCCGTACAGCGGTACGAACATGGGCTGCCCATTTTTACTCAATTCCCCAGATATGGATGCCAAATCCTACGGGGTGGGCGTCGAGAGTGATTTTGGTGTAATCGTGACCAAAAATTCCCTGCGCCAGCGGGAGCCCTCTTTCGCATTGGTCTGAATTGCAATTCTTATCTCTTTTTTTTTACAGGCCGAAGCCAAACCGGCCGTAGCACTCAGCGAGTGGTACCTCAAGGTACTCCACCCTCCCATTTATCGATCATTTTGCTCCTTCTCTTGCGAGTGTACGTTGATTATTAGATATTGGATATATTACATCTACTTTCAATATATGTTGTGCTTACGCTGCTATACGTTGCCCCACACAGCCCGTTCTGCTGCAAGGTGCTCTGTGTCTCGCGGTGGAGGGTATCCGGTGTGACACAGCCGCTGGTGGTATGTCGAACATCTTCTTCTCCATGTCTGGCCCGTTCCGTCTTTCTTTATGCGCCCATCGTGCGCTCACCTCGTTTCGCCCTTTTCAGCTCATCGAGGTCACTTGTGGCACTCCTCCAACATCAATGGGCGATACCAAGACAATCCTCGATTGGTTCAGGTATGTGACCACACACGCGCCTATGTCGTACGCGAGACCAAAGTTGACCAACTTGGGGCCTCGGCCTGTGTTGTACAAATCAGACACACAGCGGCAATGTCTACGAACTGAGTGGGCCGATGACCAAGAATCCTCTCATCCTCTCAGCATTGCGTACGTGCCTCATTAGCTTTCCAGTCGGCGCCCAACTGCAAGCTCCTCGTCTGTGCGCTCAATAACTCCTGTTTCGTTTTTCTCACACAGACGCGCGCGGCTTCGTGCCCGAGATACTGGACCAGTTCAAGTCGGGATTCCCTCATAACTGGAAGGGCCTGCTCCAGATGGTCGACCAGAAGCGCAAGATCATGACCGAGGCGGCTGCAGCGGCGGCGGCCGCACTCCAACAGGAGGCTGGCAATGGTCTCCTCCCTGTACCCGGGCATCATGCAACTAACGGCAACGAGTCGGTGAACGACGCCAACGTCTCGATGGACGTGAGCGGGCAACAAGAGGAGAGTCCCGCGGCGACGAATGCGGAACGAAAATCGCGGGCGGTGGCGGGGAACGAGACGAATGAACGAAAGAACGAAGCGAGCAGCAGAGAGAAACAGGGAAGCAGCAGCAAAACTGCGACTGCTGCCGGCAGTGAGCCACATGGAGTGCGTGTGAAGATTTCGCATGACGACTCATCGACGGCGGCAGGCAAGGGCCGCGGAGGAGCAAAGACGAAGAAGAACGAAGAAAGAGACGAGGAAGAGGAAGCGGAGGAGGAGGCCGAAGCGGAGCCGGTACTGCTGGACGGTAAGGTCATTGCCGAGATGACCCGAATCGAGCTCCTCAAGGGCCTGCGAGCTCGCGGCAAAAAGGTATCATTTCGTTAGGCCTCATGTAGCGTGATTTCTCTGCTTAGCGCTCACCTCGCGCGCATTCGATTTGTGTTCCACACTACGCAGAAAGCGAGCGGGACGAGGGGTCAGCTGGCGGCGATGCTCGAGCGACTCGTGGTCGCGGAGACCGTGCCCCAGCCCCAGCCCCAGCGCGACTCGCCGAAGACATCCAAGAAGGCCGACAGCATACCAATGGCCGCGGCAGCCAAACAAAAGGTCGACAAGGAGCCCACCGAGAGCACGACGACCCCGCCACCAGTCGCAGAAGAACTCACACAGGAAAAGGTAACCGCCACGGAGTTACTGTTCGATCTTACAATTTGAGCTCACCCTCTCGGTTGCTTGTTGTCTGCACACAGACCGACGTCGAGGCCGCTTTGCCGCAGCCGCAGGGCCAACCCTCTTCGATCGAAGGGCAGCAGCAACAGCAACAATCGGAGGCACCCGAAGCTTCGACTTCGGTTCTCGGCGATATCGGAAGCGAGGAGCCCAAGCAAGCAGAGACCCCGCCCGTGCTCGAACCGATGCAACAGAATGCGGACGAGCCGAAGAAGGAGGAGGTCCTCCGCGCCGATGATGCAGATCTACGACCTGAAGCGCAGCTGCCGCAGCCGTCGGAGGCACCGCAGCCTCAGCCGCTCGACGTGCCTCTTCTCTTTCCTCAGCGCGACGATAACGTCGACAGAAACGAGCAGCAACAGCAACAGCAGGTGACTGAGCAGCCGCCGGAGGAGGTGATGATGGAGGTGGTGGAGCTCGTGTCGGAAACAACTGCAAGCATGATGATCGACGGCGCGTCGCCACCGCAGGTCGAGCCTTACGACTCGCCCACGCTCGAGCTCTCTTCATCGTCACCCTGCCTGTCTCCCTCCCCGCCGCCGCGTTCGCCGATGTCGCCCGTCATGGCCTCGCTGTCGGCGCCGCCCGACGAGTCAGGCGAGGCTCCCGCCTACTGGCTGTCTGGCGTGCCACACATTTCGATCATTCCGGCCGCGTTGGCGTTCCAGCTCGACGCGGGCGCGCTGCCACCCGCTGCCAACGACTCTACGTCGACAGCCGGAGCCCTCGCGGCGGAGAGCAGCGAGAGTTTGGCGGCGGCGGCGGCAGCAGCCGTCGAAACTGTCGCAGCGACAATCCTGGCCGACGTCGGGGCCGAGCTGGAGAAGATCGCCGCCGAGTCAGCCCCTGGTGGTGTCCCAGCCGAAGACAAGGAACGTCCGCTGCCCCTCACTGCGTCCTCCATGACGGCCGAGGCGCCGGGCGAGCAGCCACCAAAGGCCGAACCTCAGCACGAACCCGAGCAGCCGCAGGAGCAACCGCAGGCGCCTGCGGAAGTGACGAGCGGGCAGGAGGAGGAGCATGCCGCTGCCACCGCCGTTGAGGGTTCTCGACAAGAAGAAGAGACAACAACAGAGGCGGGGAAGGAAGAGAAACGAACAACGACCGAAGGTGAAGCTGGTGAAGAAGCGGAGGAGGTCGCGACGAAGACCCCGAGCGCAGCGGATCACCCTGTGGAAGTGCAGACCGAAGAAACGAAAACCGAAGTCGAAGTCGAAGCCGAAGCTGAAGCGGAAGCGGAAGTCCGAGCCAAGGAGGAAGAGGAGGAGGAACAGCCCGAGGAGCCGTTCCAGCATCTCGATCTGCTCAAGCGGGATGAAATTGTCGTGGAGCTGCAGAAACTCGGACTGCCGGTAAGATCATCAATCTCTGGTGTGCGCGCTGTGTTTTGCCCGTGTGTCGTGAGCTCACGCCCAAGCTTTCTATTCATTTCTATCTTCATGTCAGTGCCGAGGAAAGAAGCCACAGATTCTGAACCGCCTGAAGGCCGCCCTCGCCGCTCGCGCAGCACCGGAAGAAGCCGGAAAGGAGGAATTGGACCAGCAGCAGGGCGAGGCGGCCGGCGCTGAGGAGACGACGTCGGTCGCCCAGCCGCCGGAGGATGAGCAGCCGCTGTCGCCTGTGCAGCCCGAGCTCGAGCCGGAGTCAGAGCCCGAGTCCGAGCCGATAGTCGCGACGGTCGACGAGAGCGAACGGAAGAGCGAAGACGGCGACGACAAAAGAACGAAAAGAGACAGGCGTTGGTCCGACGCGATGGAAGAAGACGAAGGCGAAGAGGAGGAGGAGGAAGAAGAGGAAACGGATACGAAGACGAGAAAGAGGAGGAAGCAGCAGAAGGAAGAGGAGGGCGGGGACGAGAGGGCGAAGCTCAGGGACGAGTCGCGGATAAGCAAGCACAGGAAGAAGCTGGAGCAGAACGAAAGGCGGAGGATACGGAGCAACCAGCCGGCCACCCGCCCATGGAGCGACCCGGAGGAGCTCACGCGCGACGAAATCGCAATCGAACTCAAGAAGCGAAACTATCCCGTACGTCTTGTATGCGTGCGTGCGTGTGCGGTTGCGTGCGCGTGTGCCGTGTGCCATGTGTCATTTGCTACCTGGTGTTAACACCCTCTGTTGTTTGGTTGCAGAGCAATGGCGCTAGAAATGCGCTGGTGCGACGACTCGCCTATGTCATGGCGGTGGAGCGTGGCGAAGAAGATCCGCTGGCCATCCCACCCGAAGACTGCGAACTCATGACCAAGGACCAGCTCGCAACGGCCCTTGCCAAGCGAGGATTCGACGTATGTCTTCTCCGTGTAGTGTGTTGCGTGTGTCGTGCGGTGATGCGTGTGCTGACATATTTCTATGTATGTCAGAATGCTGGGCCGATTGCGAAGCTGCGACAACGACTCCAGAAGGGTATCGCGTGGGCGGCGGCGCTGGTGAGCCCAGGTGCCACATCCCCGCGGACCGCCGCCGAATCTGAAGACGCCTCCAAACCGGAGCCGGAGGAGGAACCGGAGGAGCCGAAGACGATCGCCGTGGCGAAGCGGCGACGTGTGAGCGAAGACTCGGAGGACGGCGACAAGAAGAAGCGGAAGCTCAGTGAGGCCGACAGTAACAATAACAACAATAACAAAAACGACGAGAGGAAGCCAGAACGAATGGCGGAGGCGGTGAGCGACGGCGAAGAGAAACAGGGCGAGGGCGACGAGGAACGGGAGGAGGAACACGAGGACTTCGAGGCCGAGATCGAGAACCTCATGCGCGAGGCCAAGGAAAAGGGCCAGCGCGGGAAGAAGCGAACCAGCGGCACTATGTACGCCAGCGACTCGCTCGACGAAGACGAGGGCGGCGCAGGCGACGACAACGGCGACGGCGACAGCGTGCGCCATCACAAGCAGCAAACGAAGCAGAAATCATCAAAGCTGCACAAGAAGGTGAAGTTGGAGGACCAGACGTCGACCACGCCACGCGGCGCGCGCGACGAGAAGAAGGAGGCGGACGAGAAGGAGCTCAAAAAGAAGAAGGAGGAGGAACGACAGCGACGAGCCGAGGAGCGGATGAAGCGCCGCGAGGCTGATCGGCTCCGTCGCGAGGAGGAGATCATCCAGAAGCGCGTCATGATGCTCGCCACGACGACCGGAGAGCAACACGCGCGGCTGGCTGCCGACGATCTGGACGGTATGGACGACGACCTCGCCGGACAGAGCGGCGCCGAGGAGTTAGACGAGCTGTCGACATCGACAATGTCGGCAATGGCGAACTCGGGCGACGGCAGTGGTGGCGAGGAGGGAGTGAGGTCGACGCCGAACAAAGGCGGGAGAGGCAGGAGAAAGAGCGGCGGCGGCAAGAAGAGTCGGGCGATCAAGCGCGAGGAGGAGGAAGAGGAGCTCGAGGATATGGAGCTGGTCTACGGTCGCGACAACCTGGAGAAGCTGAACACAAAGATACTCATCCTACAGAGCAAGATGCGTGGTCTCCCCACACAGGTACACACACGACACCACCGCCAACGACACAAATGATACACACGACACATGTCACACGCGACATACACCGCACCTGATGCACACGATGTATTGATTGGCGTGTGTGTGTGTGTGGTTGCATCAAACAACGAAACACAGAAACGGCGCAAGATCGACATGGTGAACCGAATCGCCAACTTCGATGACAGGCAAGCTGCGGGGGAGGGCCAGACCGCGACGACAGAAACAGCGGGGACGACGGCCGACGACGACGCGAAACGAAGTGGGGAGCAAGAAGCCCTGGTCGACCAGCAATCGGTGATCACGGACGTCGCGATCGACGACGACGTCATCCTCACGAGCACTGCTCGCGAACCCTACAGCGCGCCGGACGAGCACGACATCGACGAGGTCTCGGATGGTGGCGCCCGACCACGACCCACCAGCGACAGTCCGTGACCGGAAAAATACCGGAAAGCTGTGCTTGTGTTTCCGCCAATTGGAAAAAAGGACCAGAAAAGCATTTTTTGGATCTTCTACAACCGGAGTCCGCGAGTTCTCTAAATTTTAAAGCAAGAGGTGAAGACAGCAAGACAACGAGAGGCATTAAAACAAGAGGAGGGAGGAGGTGGAGGATGTACTCGCTACAAAACCTGCAATTCTACACGGGAGGAGGAAGCAACACGCCCCCTGTGCGACCCCCGGAGAAAAAGTCTGGCCAGACGGAGGGTGTTCGTGCTTGCAACTTTTGCAGGACATCCCACGCAGCCTGTGACTCGTACGCCTCGCTCCTTCCTTTCTTTTACAACAAAAATACAAATAAAAATAAAACTAAAAATTGCAGTTTTTTACACGCCACTTTTTTGCCTGGCAACGTGTGCTGCAGGGAGCGACCATGCGGCCGATGCGTGAGAACAGGGCGCGCTGAGCAGTGCTTCGAGGTCCCGCCACGCAAGCGAGGTCGGCCGCCACGCCACGCCCACGAGACCTACTTCCCCCCAGCGCCCGCTGCCGGAGAGTTCCATCCTCTCAACTGCTGTCGCATCGCAGCGGCCGACGTACAGGACCCCCAACCACTCCGTCACGTCGCCTCCGCCACCGCTCGCACAGCACTCTTTCTCAAGAATCCTCCCCGCTGCTCCCGCCATCAGCGCCGACGAGCCTGTGCCCAGGCCGGCCAACATCTACCACCACCTGTGGAGTCAGGCGGAGGATGCGCCACAACCTGTACGCGAGGTACCTGCGCCGGTACGTCGGCAGTTGTGGAGCAGCACATGCACGCACTACACGACACGACACGACTCGCACGCGCACCACCGCACACGCACAGCCAGGCTGGCTGACAAACTCTCAGGTGGTAACGCGTAACATATTCCAGGACAGGACACATGGCACGGGCACCACGACGACGACGAGCACCAGCAGTTTGAGTAAAAAGAAGGCCAAGAAACTCAAGGTCGATCAAACCAGCAATAGCAGCACGAGCGGGGAGGAGGCGGAGTGGGAGAGCGGCGGCTCCTCTTCCGGCACCCCGTCGCCGGTGCCGCGGTACAGTGGGACTGGAGGCCAACACGGCTCGGCCGACCGGGCCGCGCGACTGAAGCCCAAGAGCAGTAGGGCGAGCAGCGTCGAGGCCGATACCGAACTGGACTGCCCAGCACCGCAGCCGTTGCCGCCTATCGGCGACGATCGCCTGCGACCGCCGCCCCAGCAGCAGCTGCTGCTGCCAACTGCTGAGCCGGAACCGGTCCGTGAGCCGCCGGCCCCAGTCGTCGTACAGGAGCCCGTAGCGACGGGCGACGGTGAGCCACCGCCTGCCGACGACGAGAGCAAGTTCACGCGACTCATGGAGATGATCGGCGGCGAGATGCGCGAATTGAAGCGGACCAACGAGAAGCTGGTGAAGAAGGTCAAGCGCCTCAAGGCCAAGCAAACAGAGTCCGACCACACGATAGGCGTGCTGGTTGCGGCTGAGCGACAGCGGAAGGAGGCCAAGCAGCGCAAGCTGCAAGACCGACACCAGCACAAGTACCCAAACACGCAGCATCCCGGGCGGTTCGACCATGCCAACGCCCTCGCGGCCGCGGCAGTCGCCACCGCCACGACTGGCACGCCGTCCCAACTGCGCCACCACGACCTAGGATTCGTGTCGACAGCCAGAAGCTCCAAGGACGAGATCGAGGCGGTGTGCGGCCCGACCATGCCGCTCGTTACATCGATGATGGAGCAGCTCGTTGGCGACACATCAACCGACCTGGCCCAGCTCTTCGCGATACCGGACGTCCAACCACCCTCGGGCAACCGGTCGCCATCATCTGCGTCGTTGCGGTCATCATCGTTGTCATCGACATCATCGTCATCGTCATCATCTTTCTCATCTCCGCTAGACTACGTCGTATCGACGCAGACCTCCGTTTCCGCATCGGCCGCCGTCGTGCCTCGCAAGCGCTCGTCTTTCTCGTCGGAGATCGCGCTCCTGCACTCTTTCGCGCCACCGGGCTTGCTAATGGAGGCAATGTTGGTGCTGCCCTTCCTCCGCCACTACGCCATGCCGACCCGCTTCGCCGTGCTCGACTTCACGTACGTTTTGCTTCTTCCTTTCTCGCCTCTCCGCAACACTGCACTAATTTGCGTGCGTGTGTGTGTGTGTATGTGTGGTGTGTCGCGTGTGTGTCGCGTGTGTCGCATGTGTTGCCCGGTGTGTAGTTATCCAGTGTGCTCGCTCACCTCGGCGGTTGACGACGGCCCGCCCACACTGACCTTCGCCAATGCTGCCTTCACGCACCTCGCCAACCGCTCGTGGGTAAGGCTTTACATTTGCTACTAACAGCAACTACCTGTCGAGCCACCACTCTCTTATTATCTCTTTCTCTCTGTGCGTCGACGCCACGCAGGAAGAGATGATGGGCGCGCCGTTTCATGAAGTGTTCGCCGTCCATCAGGCCAACTACAAGAAGGTCGCCCACCTCATTTTGAATCGGTACGGCGCGCATTCCCAGTTTGTTCTCGAGGTGGGCGAGCTTGTGGTGACGCAACCCCCCCGCCCCCAAAGGCCGCCCTTGACGTCGAGCGAGGTCTTCACCTTCCGAGCGCTGATGCGGTGCGGCGGCGGCAAGTTCCTGCGCATCACCGAGAACGTCCAGTTCTTCTACGGCACCAATGGCATTGTGCGTCTCACCAGGACACATTCAACATTGCGCGCGCGCACACCACAAGTCTCACATACAACACGCACCACCGCACACGCACGCACGCAGTTGAAAGAGACGCTGGTGTGCGTGATCAACTGGCAAGAGGGACACCTGGAGGAGGGCGAGGTCTTGGAGTGGATCCCCCTTCGCACCCTTTTCAACGCGCCCCCGGGGGCAGCCAGCCACAGACCCGGCTACGTCGCCCACCAGCACCAGGGCGCCGCGACCCCCTCAAATCCCAACAACTGCGATCCCAGCGCGTACCCGCACAGCGCTCTCTCGTCTTCGTCTTCCCCCGAATCCTTTCTCTATCTTCCGTCGGCTCCGGCTTCATCTTCGGCGTCAGCGCCTTCTTCCACCACGCCTGTACATCTCTCCTTGGCTCCGCAGCAGCAGCAGCAGCAGCAGCAGCCTCACCACCAGCCTCCACTTCATTCGCACCACAACCGGCCGCCTCCCCCACCACCGCCGCATTCCACATCCCGGCAGGCCAGCCATGCTTCCCTGCCGTCGTCGTCTTCACACGCACCCACTTCTACCCACCTCCCGCGTCACTGGCTGTGACGCAAGTCAGGTCAGACAATTTTGCCAAAACAAAGGTCCCGAAGAAGAAACATCATCAGACTGTGCTGGCCACTGCACTTCACCTGATTGGTCATGACATCGGAATGTGCCACACATTCATGTGGTTTTGCCCCCTTATTGTCTGGTTTAGTAGGCGTTTTACAAAGGGGGGCAGCCAAGGTCTCGGACGGGAAGAATGATCGGAATGTGCCACCGTTTCGCTCTTTTTCTCCGAAGTCGCCCACAAAGTACAGAGGTGCTTTATCAGCTGTCTTTTTGTTTTCATCCATGAGCGCCCAACACACCTACATGACTTTCCCCTGTCGACACCAGTGCTGCACACACCTGGTGAACGGCCAGCGCCACAGGTACAAGACAGCACCAGCACGGGATGAGCACGAGCGCACCACCTACCACCACGCCTGCAAGGAAAGTGAGTGTGTGGTGTGCTTGTTGTGGGCAGATCAGCT